AGGGGGAGTGGAAAGGATCACTGAGAGGGGAGAGTGCCCCACAGAACTGCAGGGCGTGGGAAGGGGACTGAGGGGGAGTGGAAACGATCACTGAGAGAGGAGAGTGCTCCACAGAACTGCAGGGCGTGGGAAGGGGACTGAGGGGGGAGTGGAAAGGATCACTGAGAGAGGAGAGTGCTCCACAGAACTGCAGGGCGTGGGAAGGGGACTGAGGGGGAGTGGAAACGATCACTGAGAGGGGAGAGTGCCCCACAGAACTGCAGGGCGTGGGAAGGGGACTGAGGGGGGAGTGGAAAGGATCACTGAGAGAGGAGAGTGCTCCACAGAACTGCAGGGCGTGGGAAGGGGACTGAGGGGGAGTGGAAAGGATCACTGAGAGGGGAGAGTGCTCCACAGAACTGCAGGGCGTGGGAAGGGGACTGAGGGGGAGTGGAAAGGATCACTGAGAGGGGAGAGTGCCCCACAGAACTGCAGGGCGTGGGAAGGGGACTGAGGGGGAGTGGAAAGGATCACTGGTGCCCCACAGAACTGCAGGGCGTGGGAAGGGGACTGAGGGGGAGTGGAAAGGATCACTGAGAGGGGAGAGTGCCCCACAGAACTGCAGGGCGTGGGAAGGGGACTGAGGGGGAGTGGAAAGGATCACTGAGAGGGGAGAGTGCTCCACAGAACTGCAGGGCGTGGGAAGGGGACTGAGGGGGAGTGGAAAGGATCACTGAGAGGGGAGAGTGCCCCACAGAACTGCAGGGCGTGGGAAGGGGACTGAGGGGGGAGTGGAAAGGATCACTGAGAGGGGAGAGTGCCCCACAGAACTGCAGGGCGTGGGAAGGGGACTGAGGGGGGAGTGGAAAGGATCACTGAGAGGGGAGAGTGCCCCACAGAACTGCAGGGCGTGGGAAGGGGACTGAGGGGGGAGTGGAAAGGATCACTGAGAGGGGAGAGTGCTCCATAGAACTGCAGGGCGTGGGAAGGGGACTGAGGGGGGAGTGGAAAGGATCACTGAGAGGGGAGAGTGCCCCACAGAACTGCAGGGCGTGGGAAGGGGACTGAGGGGGAGTGGAAAGGATCACTGAGAGGGGAGAGTGCTCCACAGAACTGCAGGGCGTGGGAAGGGGACTGAGGGGGAGTGGAAAGGATCACTGAGAGGGGAGAGTGCTCCATAGAACTGCAGGGCGTGGGAAGGGGACTGAGGGGGAGTGGAAAGGATCACTGAGAGGGGAGAGTGCTCCACAGAACTGCAGGGCGTGGGAAGGGGACTGAGGGGGAGTGGAAAGGATCACTGAGAGGGGAGAGTGCTCCACAGAACTGCAGGGCGTGGGAAGGGGACTGAGGGGGAGTGGAAAGGATCACTGAGAGGGGAGAGTGCCCCACAGAACTGCAGGGCGTGGGAAGGGGACTGAGGGGGAGTGGAAAGGATCACTGAGAGGGGAGAGTGCCCCACAGAACTGCAGGGCGTGGGAAGGGGACTGAGGGGGAGTGGAAAGGATCACTGAGAGAGGAGAGTGCTCCACAGAACTGCAGGGCGTGGGAAGGGGACTGAGGGGGAGTGGAAAGGATCACTGAGAGAGGAGAGTGCTCCACAGAACTGCAGGGCGTGGGAAGGGGACTGAGGGGGGAGTGGAAAGGATCACTGAGAGGGGAGAGTGCCCCACAGAACTGCAGGGCGTGGGAAGGGGACTGAGGGGGAGTGGAAAGGATCACTGAGAGGGGAGAGTGCTCCACAGAACTGCAGGGCGTGGGAAGGGGACTGAGGGGGAGTGGAAAGGATCACTGAGAGGGGAGAGTGCTCCACAGAACTGCAGGGCGTGGGAAGGGGACTGAGGGGGAGTGGAAAGGATCACTGAGAGGGGAGAGTGCCCCACAGAACTGCAGGGCGTGGGAAGGGGACTGAGGGGGAGTGGAAAGGATCACTGAGAGGGGAGAGTGCCCCACAGAACTGCAGGGCGTGGGAAGGGGACTGAGGGGGAGTGGAAAGGATCACTGAGAGAGGAGAGTGCTCCACAGAACTGCAGGGCGTGGGAAGGGGACTGAGGGGGAGTGGAAAGGATCACTGAGAGAGGAGAGTGCTCCACAGAACTGCAGGGCGTGGGAAGGGGACTGAGGGGGAGTGGAAACGATCACTGAGAGAGGAGAGTGCTCCACAGAACTGCAGGGCGTGGGAGCCAGAGGTCACCTTTTAGTCCTTGAGGTAAAAATGCTTCAGCCTGAGCGGAGCAGAAAGTTGGGAGTGAAGAGCTGGATGTCAAAGGACAACAGAAATCGAAGGGCAGCACCCCTGGGTCCCAGCAGGAAATATTTCGGGCAGAAAGGTGACAAATGGAGAGACAGGAAGAAGCCTGGTCTCCAGGCACTTCTTCCTAAGCCTTGGGTCTCCACAGACTAAAGGCCCAGCAGGCAGCTCTGGGGCTGCCCCTGAGCTTCTGGTGCCCGAGGAGTGGGTTCCCGAGGTGGGTTCCCCCGCACCACTGAACACCCTGCTCCGGAAGGGGAGAGGGCCACTTTCTCCCTCCCGCCAGGGCCCAGCTGCTCCAGTCTCCCTGGAGTCCCCTGGCCGGGGAGGATCGTGTCTCTCCAGGCAGGCGCTGAGCTGTCTACCCTCTACAGCACTTCTCAGCCAGCAGGAACCTTACTGCCCTGGGGATGGAGCTGCGGTCTGAGGACTACGGGGTGCCCAACAGGCTAGGCTGCCTCAGGGACCCCAGCTGGAATTGCCCCATTTCCGGACTCAAGGCATTTCCTTTCTTTAGCTTCCCTCAGCCTCCCTCCCATCCTCTGAACTAGGCACTAGCAGGCCCCTGGGATTCCCATCTCAACGCACCCCCCTCACAGAAAAACCCAAAAGGTCTGTTGCTACCCAAGCCCCACACCCTGGTAATGTGTTTTCTCTGTTCTGTCATTAAAAAGCAAACAGCTGGAGAAAAAACAATGGGGGAGGAGAAGAAATGTGAAAGATAAAACATTTATAAAAGACTCATAAATGTGACTTCATTAAAAGTAACAAGGTTTGGCCCTGGTTCAGTTGGTTGGAGTGTTGTCCCGTACACCAAAAGGTTTCAGGTTCCATTCCCAGTCAGGGCACATACCCAGGTTGCAGGTTTGATCTCTGGTCAGGGCATGTACAGGAGGCAACCAATCTGTTTTTCTCTCATACCTATGTTTCTCTCTCTCTCTCTTTCTAAAAAACAATCGATACAAACATATCCTCAGGTGAGGATAAAAAAACAATGTTTGTTCAACAAAATACACCATTAAAAAAAGACAAGTCACAAACAGAAGGCAGGCATTAACCACATATTAATAAAGTCTAGAATATATAAAAAATCCTTCCAATTCAACAAGAAAAAGCCAACCCAATAGAATTATGGGCAAAATACACAAACAGGCATTTTGCAAAGGAGAAAAGTTGTATGGCCAATGAAAAATGCTCAGTTTCACTGGTGGTCCAGAAGTGAAAACTAGGATCACAATGAGAAACCATTTAAAAGAACTAAAGTGTCATAAATGAAGAAGCCTTGAGAATGTAGAACAATAGCAGCTCTGATACATTGCTGGTGGGAGTGAAGACTGATACAAGCACCTTGGAAAATTATTTGAATTTACACACACCCTGTGCTTCAGCAATTCCATATCTAGGTAAAAGACCAGAGACAGGCTTTTCAAAAACTTCCATCAGGAGACATTTAACAAGAATATTCAAAGCAATATTGCTTATAATTGCAAACATAAAATACAAATGTGCACGGCAGAAAAATGGATAAATTGTGGAAACTCAAAGCAGTGAAAGTAATAGAACATACACATAACAAATATGAATCTTAGAAACAACAGAGTGAAAAAAAGCACATCACAGAAGATTGCATACAATACAGGTAATACCATTAAATAAAGCTCAAAAATCAAGGAATATAAACATTATATTGTTTAGGCCAATGTGTATACAAGATTGTAATAAAATTCCTTTTTAAAAGGAAATGATAATTATAATAATCAAGAGATTAGTTACCTCTATGGAGAGGAATACACAATGAATCTGAACAGTTTCTAGTAATATAGTTCTTAAATTAGGTGGTAGGTGGTTCATTTTATTATTAAGCCTTTCTATACTTTACATCTAGTGTATGGATCAAATATCTATGCAAGATTTAGAAAAATTGGGGCACAAAATGGGATTTGTAAATAATGACTTTTCTTATGCAAAATATTCTCAATATAACATTAAACAATAATTTAAAGAATTTAGCTCATCTATAAGCCAGCAAATACTGGATTATCTTCAACAGTTCCAATGACTATAATAATAGCAGAGGCCAAGGAAATATCTTTTGTATGAGAGTCACTAACGAATCAGATCTGTTGTAAAGAACTAAATTTATATTCTGGACTGACTGTCTGAGGCAGGATAGTAAGAAGCTAGGAAAATTCCTTGGCAAGCAGAATGGGGAGACTGAGATAGGTAGCTGAACAAACTGGTTGAGCAATTTACAGCTAGATAATAAATGGCAAGGTCTTATCCTCCCTAAGCAAGGACACTTAGGAACAAATAGTACAGTCGGCCCTCGTTTATCGCGGTTAATCAGTTCCAGATTCTACCACGATAAATGAATTTCCGCGAAGCAGATTCTATATTTATACAGTTCTCCCTCACCACTACGCTCGACTTTCGTGGCTTCACTCTATCGCAGTTTTTTCAAACACTACTATATTTGAAAAAAACCACGATTGAGTGAAGCCGCGCAAGTCAAAGCACAAAGTGGCGAGGGACGACTGTATACACACTCCGGACTGTGCAGGGGCAGACTCCATTTGGTCCTGGTCCCCTTTTGGTGACATTCTTTGAAGGTAAAACTGCCCAGAGAATGACCCTGACCCCTCTATACACACATTTTTATTAATCAGCATATTGAATGACACTGGAAAGCTGATGAATATTCTACTGAGATCCTCCCCTACAATTGCCACCTTTAGAAAACAGATTCAGAAACCCTAAGACAAGCCAGTGCAGCTGTCTCTGGAGCAGGCCCACACCTTTGTTTCCTCTCTTGTAGCCTTACTTTCTCTCCTACTTCTAAGGGTCCCCATGAGACTTGCAATCAGGGGAGCAGTGGGCAGCAGAAGCTCGTCCCAGGCTAAGCCCATGAACCTGGCTCCAAGGACCCCTTTCCTCTGACTTTCCGGTGAGCTGACAGCAGCCCCACATCGGCTCACTTCTGTCACTGTGACTTTGACTTCTCAGTGAGTATGCAGCCCAGAGTGGCCACTTCTTTCCTACAGTATTTCTAGAGAGCCAAAGCCGAGCACTGCCAAGGCTCTCTCCTGATGTTGCTTCTACTGTAGGCCCTTCCTCTGTTTCACAGTCCCAGCTTTAATAAATGTACTCTCGAAATTATCTGGACTTGGATGGTGAAATCTTTCCTGCACAAAGTCAAAAAGCTACACACAACCAGCCAGCCCCGGACAGACCCGCTCCAATCCTGGTCCCTTTCTGGTGACATGTCCACCAGAAGAAGAAACACAGAGACAACATACCCTTACATAAAATCAAGAACACTTCTGTATACCAGCATACTCACAAAGAAGACACCATCAAAACATTCACAACAGTCGCATCAACCATGAGTGATTTTATTGAAGACTCATTCACAGGATTCTGACCAGCGAAATGCTGATTATAACATACACTCTGAGGTACCCACCCTGACCTTACTTCAGGGTCCCCCACCCCCTCTTCAGGCTTCCCAGTAGTGTGCTTTCGTCCCACCAGGGAAACGGAGCCAGGCCTCAGACTGCCCCCAGCCACAGCTCTCAGGCAACTGATTACAGACAAGCGGCCTCCATGTCCATTACCGCAGCAGCTCTCTAATGCATCTGAACCACAAAATGGGCCTCTGCTTCTTTCCTATCCCAGCTCCATCTTCATAAACTGTAACAGACAGACAGGAGTCCCCAAGGGTACCAAGTATTTCTTTCCAGATAATTTTAAAGGAAATGGAAGAAATGCCTATGTGCTAATGAACGTTATGGCTGAAACAATGCATCTGCAGGTGTCCGCTGCCTAGCCACACACAGACCAATGTGCTCCCCGGCAGTAAATGAAATTGTTAACTGTGTTCGAAGGCAGCGAGAAGTGCTGTGTCTATGGAGAGTTGGGATCAGGGTGGTTTCCACTCTGCTAAGCTGATCTTTTAGCCCATATTTATAATAACTGGTACTTTTCAGAACAACCTCAGATTCAGTGAAATTTCCAACTTTCTGAAATATTTTTTCTCACAGGCTCTATTCTGGTCTCTAAGACTTGACTGGAAGGAAAAGAAAAAGACCCAAACTAAAGTTCCAATTTAAGAGTTGATTACGAGAAAAATAGGGTATTTTTTATAATCCCAAAACTGGGGGGGAAATTTCTTTTTTCAGGGAGAAAATCAGGAGAAGCAAGAGCACAAACCCACGCCTTAGACCTCTTCCGTTCTTGGCTTTGTACTAGTAACATCAGCAAAACCCAAGTGGGGTTGACAAGGGTCAAAGAATTTGAAATGTCATTTGAAATTTGCCCAGGGCCAATTTTTAGGAATATCTGGACCTTAGTCAGCCAGGATTTTCTAAGGAAGCAAGAGGGTTAGGTTTAAATTCTGGGAGGTCCAGCTGACACTATAATTCCTGTTCTAGGGAGCCCTGGAGGTAGCAGTCAATGGAAATTTTATCTTCCTTCGAGCTCTGTAGATTCCTGCAGGTTTGGGGTAAAAAGGACATGTTGGAGGGTATGCACTACTGACCCTCATCTTTAAGCCAAGAGAAAGATCTACAACAATGCTGAGGTACCTTTTAAGAGCTTCTAAGACAGCTTTAACACAGCTCTGGGCTAGGGACAGAAAGCCTCAGGGAAACCATAAAACAAACCCACACGGTGCCATTATATTGTCTTGTCCTGGGAATTCTGCCCTTAAACAAAACTACTCTCATGGATACATAAACAAGCACTTTCTGAGCCATCTAACAAACATTGCGCTCTTACAGAGCAGCAAGCCTCTGCCTGGGGGAACAGCAGGGACAGTGGCCAAGCCAACCTGACAAGTGTTTCACCTCTGTGACATTGAAAGTGGGGAGAGTCCACAGTGGAAAACAGATCTTGTTTGTAATGGTCTCATCTGAAAAGCTATGCAGCAAATACTCTACAAACAAGTATCAGGCCATACTGCCTAGATGGAATCTAAACTTTGGGCTGCCAGGCTTCTAAAGACTTCAAGAGAAGGACCAGAATCAAGACTCTGAGATAAAGAGTCTCTGAAGATATTTGACCTGGAGCTGCCGCCATCTCTTATGATTATTTCCTGTGTGGCTGTGAAAGTTAATGGAATGAAGCCTTCACTATCAGCAGAGAGAAGGATCCAGCGGGAGTCTGCAAAGTAAAATGAACATAGGCAATTTAGAACATTTCATCTTACTCTATAAGGAAAAACAATAAATATGACTTTTTGAGGGGAAGAATTCAGTAGTTGATATTAAACCTGATCATTACAAGACTTAACAGAGAATGGGAAGATGGAAGGAATGTTACGTAGCGTCTGGTTGTATGGCAGGAAGAGGAAGTTGATGACTTAGGCATAGCTAAGGAACATGCATTTTTCACTCAAGCTAGGCATGTGTATTACTCAGTGGTTATGCATATGAGCTTCTGTCTGCACACTCATTAGGGGTTCTGTGTAGAATGTCCCTATCTTATCTACATGATGTTAATCAGTTTCTCCAGAAAAATATGTGAAGTTGGGAACAGCCACTCTTACGGGGGAAACTTCTTTATTCTTTAGATCCATACCAACCTCTAGACACCCAAGGAGGCAGAGGTGACTAGAGCCAGACTAGAATGGCCCAGATAATCCAGAAAGGTTTGTTCCAGGGTAACCAAGGGCCATCAGCATACCACATGTCTGGACCCTCTCTGGTTCTTTCAAGTCTACATGTCTTACCTTTTGATCTTATAATTTCACTTCTAAAAATCTATACTTTCCAAAAACAACACGTAAAATACAGAGAGGCTTTTTTTTTTTTTTTTTTTTTTAAATGGGGGGAAGAGAGAGAGAGAAACATCAATGTGTGAGAGACACATCGAACAGTCGCCACCCACATGACCCCAACCGGGGCCAGGACAAACTGCAACCAAGATACATGCCCTTAGCAGGAACTGAACCCAGGACTCTCTGGTCCGCAGGCCAACACTCAAACCGCTGAGCCAAACTGGGGCCAGAGAGGCTTTTATTAATGTTATTTATAATGGGTCACCATTGGAACCCACCTAAATGTCAAAGAAAACATGGCAAAATAAAATATGGTACACTTTAGAATGCAATATTAAACCTACTCAGTAAAAATGACAATTATGAAGTCATATCATAAATATATGTGTCAAAATAGAACAATGCTGATGCTACAATGTTAAGGGGGAAAATGAAACAAAATTTGTTTGGTGTAGTGGCTACTATACGAATGAGGAATAAAAAAGCAGCCACCCGATGAAACATGGGCATGACTCTGTCCCTCACCATCCAGAAGTGTCCTTCATATCCACATGTTTGTTGCACATTAAAACAACCCTTTTCATAAGTATCCTGCAGTGTTGCTATGATCTTTATGTTCTAGTGCAACAGGTATATATGAGGCTTTTATGTCATTTCCTTACAGTTGTTATACAGGATGGAGCAAAAGTAGGTTTATAGTTGTGAGTTCGCAGAACACAGGGTTTATTTTTGTATTATTATTGTTTAATTATTGTACTATTTTCAATACGAACAGCTGTAAACCTACTTTTGCTCCACCCTGTATATGACTTTGTAATTCTATTCTACTTTTTCATGTACACAGTTAAGTTTTCCAGCTAGGCTATAAGTTCCTTAAAGGCAGAACACATATTTTTTCATGTGTACGGTGTAATAGGCCTAGGTATATAGCAGACAATTCATAATAGTTGTTAATTATCTGTGAATCACAGAATGATCAGTACAGCCATTTCCATTACCAGTAAAAGTTACAAAAGAAATGGTAGAAAGAGGGTGTTGGGTAGGGTTAACTTCTGAATTATACCTACCATGCTGCATTTCAATAAGAGAGAGGCCAAAAGTCTGCTGAACTGTACTGAGCCTTAGTTTGCCATTGCAGAGAAGCATGTCTCTTTTTTCAACAACAGATCCTACATAGTAATGTTTCTTCAAATACAAAAAAAAAAAAAAAAAAAATTGTTAAACTAATTGCAGAAGCAATAGAGTAACATTTCTTAAGGATTGAAAGTGTAAATAGTTTCTTAAAATCCTCATATATTACCAATATCAATTATACTTCAGTTTTATATAAGGAGCTTTTTGCTGTATTATTTAACACAACTAAAAGGTCAGAACAAAACACAACACCTAATTCACTTTTCCTAGGAACTTGATCATTAGGAACTGGCTGTCCTAGGATATGACTAATAACACTATAGGTGATGGACAGCAGCCTAAGAGGCACAATCTGATGGTGAAGAACAGGTGCCTGACTACTTTAAGTATAACTAAAAAACTTCATGTTTTCTTTATTGGGGGGAAAATGACAAGAAAGACTGCCTTAAGTGGCAGAGCAGCAGAGAATTTGCACAAGTAAACAAACTGGTCAAGATTCACTTAGCTTAGAAAAAGTGCAAGTAAAAATGATTTAAAATTTTTTAAAAGTCTTATTAAACATTAACTCATCTTTAAAAATGGTTTCAAATATACTTAGAAAAAGAAAATACAAAATAATTATAGCTCTAATTATTAAGAGTCCAGAACATGGAATAAAAATATAACTTCTAATTATATATTACTTGTAAGCATTTGAAGAAGAGTTTTATTAGTAAGTTAAGTATCTAACTTATTTTGCTGTTAAAATTATCACTACTCATTTTCTGACTGCTGAGAAACTTAATTGCAATGATGAAAGATAAACTGCATACATTTGTAGAAGGATGAACAATTCAAAGAGCATGTCTAATAATAACATTTTAGAAGATGTCACATGAATAAACTGTAAGGGATAGAAACAGCTAATCATTTATTTGAACTCTGAAAAATGTTGCTTCAGAAATTATATGGGAAACTCTTCCTTGCTTTTGATTATTTTGCCTTTTTTCTTTCACTTTTCTCATTACAAAAGGAATATATGCTCAATATAAGAGAGTAAAGCAAATTTACAATGCAGAAAATAAAGTCCCCCAAATTCGACCTCCAGAGGCTATTACTGATAACAGCTTGGTTGGATCAGTTCATTATAAACTGTGAAACCGAGGAACTGAAAAGGCAAAATACCCCACATTTCTTTTACTCAAAAAGTACAGAATTTCACATTTACAAATGCCTACAAAAGAAAAATGTATGTTATTATTCGGCAGAAAAAAATATAGACCTACTTAAAACTAACTCTACCTGTGATTTTCTCTAAGGGTTGGATTACAGAGAATTTTTACTTTCAACATTAATTATTCCTATATTGATTACTTTCCCCCATCTCCCTCAATGAGCACATATTACTTTTGTAATTAGGGGGAAAAAAAGAACAAGAAAAAAAAAAGCTATGCATGCCGATATGGAGAATTCCTGAGGATATACTATTAAAAGGAAAAAGAAAGATGCAGAACACTGGATATCGTGCCTTACTTTTTGTGTAACAAAGGGGGAAATAAAAATAGTAAGATATGCTAGTATCTGCATAAAGAAATAAACATTAAAATGTTACCTATAGAAGGTGAGAGGAACAGATTAAACAGAGATGGGGTGAGAGTAAGACTTCCTAGTATATATCTATCTTTTTATTAAAATCTGTTTTGCTTTTAAACCAAGTAAATGAATTACCTATTCAAAAAGAAATAAAGCCCTGGCCGGTTTGGCTCAGCGGTTAGAGCGTCGGCCTGTGGTCCTGAGAGACCCGGGTTCGGTTCCCGCTAAGGGCACGTACCTCGGTTGCAGTTTGTCCCGGCCCTGGTCGGTTGTGCGGGTGGCAGCCACTCGATGTGTTCCTTTCACGTCGATGTTTCTCTCTCTCTCTCTGTTCCTCTCCCCCCCCCCCCACCATTCTACCTGAACAAAAAATGGAAAAATGTCCTCGGGTGAGGATAAAAAAAATAAATAAATAAACAAAAAGAAATAAAAAGGAAAAAATGTTTACAAAGTCATGGAAGAAAAAGAAATCCAAACTAAATTTCATATTTATAAATACTATAAATTTTAAAAATAAAAAAATCTATTTACTGAAAATATATAGAAAACTTCATGTATTTATATAAAACCATTTAAATAACTGCTTTAAAGACAATGTAACAAAAATCCTCTCAAAAATTTAGAATTGAGATGTTAAATGTTTATAAACATGTGTTTCAATTAGCTTTGGTACATGATATAACTAAGATTCTTAATGTAGTTGTAAAATTAATGTGGAAATGATTAATTTGGAAACACTGATTTAAATGATTTTCAGCTGGTTTGTTATTTAACAGGTTTTAGGGAGAATTGAGGGCATCTAAATAAGGACTAGGTATTAGATATAATAAGTAATTGGTGTTAATGCTATCATGTGATAGTGGGATTGTAGTTATTGAAGCAAATGCTTGCATTTTTCCTACATCCTGAATTATCTATGTTCAGTGAAATACATGATATCTTTACTTGAACTATTTTAGAAAACAACAACAAAAAAGCAATATGGCAAAATGTTAACAACTCTTATATGCAAGAAATACAGGATTTCATTATGTAGTCTATGTGTTTATAATTTTTCTTAATAAAAAATGTATTTTATATGTTTGAAATTTTTCTTGAAAAAAATATAATTGCTTAATTACTCTTTGGTTCTTTTAAAAACGTATATCCTTGCCCGGCTGGTGTAGCTCAGTGGTTGAGCGTCGATTCATGCACCTGGAGGCCATCGGCTCAGTTCCTGGTCAAGGCACATGCCCAGGTTGTGAGCCAAATCCCCAGTGGGGGGCATGCAGGTGGGGCCAACTGATGTTCTCTCTCATCAATGTTTCTATCTCTCTCTCCCTCTCCCTCCCTCTCTCTTCCAAATCAGCAAAGAAAAAAAATTTTTATAACATAAATGTAAAAATCAAAATAATAAACTACTGCAAGAAAATCTAGACTATTGCAGGCATATTAATTTCTACAATATACAAAAACTTCTTGTAAACTGGTAAGTCAAAAGGAAAAATAAGCAATAGGTAATTCATTAATTGGCACCAAAACATGAAGACATATGTACTCAAATTCACTAATAGTAAAGGAAAAAAAAAATTAATAAAAGTGAAGTGCCACTTCACATTTATCAGATTCATGAGAATGTGAGGAAAAGGTTGCTAGTGAGCATGTGATAATACATTGTTAAGTAAAAATCTTCGAAAGGCAGTCTGGCAACTTTTTTAAAAGGAGAAACATATATATTCAAATTGCACTTCTACTTCTGGGAACCAACCCAAGAGAAATAAAAGTAGGAACAGAAATGGATACATACAAGAATACTATTGCAGCACTATTCAGAGTGGCTAAAAACTGAAAACAAAGTGAATGTCCATCAACAAGAGAACGCCTGAATAAACAGCATACTCTCAGCATGAAGTAAAGAGTGCACCATATGACTCTATTTTTGTAAAAACAATAACCACCTCTGAACTTACATATAGCCTGTACCTATATAGCTACGTATACAAAGATCTGGGTAAGATTATATGAGTATGAAGTACACTATGGAAGGATCCACATTAAGCTGCTAAAGGGGGAGGAGCTAGTTAAAGGAAAGTGTTCATGACAAAATACGATGCCATTTATGAAATGCTGTTTCCATATGCATGCATTAAACTTTTTAAAATAAAGCCTGGTAGGTGTGGCTCAGTGTATTGAGCATCATCCCATGGACTGAGAGGTCCCAGTTTGACTCCCAGTCAGAGCACATGCCCAGGTTTCAGGCTCAATCCCCAGTCGGGGGCATGCAGGAGGCAGATAATCCATGTTTCTCTCTCACATTGATGTTTCTTTTTTATTTTTTTTATCCTCACCCAAGGACATTTTTCCATTTTTTGTTCAGGTAGAGTGGGAGGGAGAGAGAGGAACAGAGAGAGAGAGAAACATCGATGTGAAAGGAACACATCGAGTGGCTGCCACCCGCACGACCGACCAGGGCCGGGGACAAACTGCAACCGAGGTACATGCCCTTAGCGGGAACCGAACCCGGGTCTCTCTGGACCGCAGGCCGACGCTCTAACCGCTGAGCCAAACAGGCCAGGGCTCACATTGATGTTTCTATCTCTTTCCCTTCATCTCTCTCTAAAAATCAATAAAAACATATTTAAAAAATAAATAAAATTTTTAAAATAAATATGACCTTTCTTATAAATGGAAGAGGGTCTGCAACTGCCCAAGAAAAAAGTCACAATAAAATAGCACAACTAAAATTATTGTTTTCTAAATATAAACTGGCAGAACCAGTGCAATCATTCATGTATTCACACCATTCACATGATAAAGCTCAGTATATACTGCTGTGTGTGTCCATGTGGTTGGCAGGCAACCAACCTGTAAAGGTATAACAACTATGATATAACATGCCCTGTTCAATTTAAATACCATCTTCCTTATCAATTAATTTTTCTAGCAGTAACCACTGGCTGCAGGAGCATTTATGTATAGTGGTAACTCCTCAAGGAGAAATTACCTGGTAAGAGATGTGGACATAAGGCAGATCCTGAGAGAGGGGATATACTGGAGAGGATTTCTTTCCATTACGTAGGAAGTCTGTAAGTTCAGAAAGACATCGTTGTATTTCAATCAGTTTTCTAGATAAAACTTCCAGTTCCTTAGAGGGCTGATAAGTTTCCTTTTCCCGGTGTAAGTTCTTTCTTTGAGGAAAATTAGGAGGTTCTGGGGTGCTGGTGCAGTCTGGTGTGCTGCTGGTTTTGTGCAGCGACACTGACTGGTTAGCAGGCTCGGCACCTGGAGTTTCCAGGGCTATGGAGTCATCACAGACACTGAATGGAGGACTGTCTTTAATAAAGGTACTTCCGGGCCTTCCACCTTGACTACAGCTATTAGCTGTTAACAAGAGCTCTCTGTTTCGGTGACAAATATCTGGGGAAAAACTGTCGATTAGTATTTTTCTCTCTGCTTTCTTTAACAGAGTACTGAAAGTAGAGTAGCCACTCTGGTTTTCACTCAATGTTACTGGAAATTCCTCTTCCAACATTACTTCTCTAACAATCAAGCGAATGACATACTCATCAGTCTTTGAAGAAGGAAGAAATGTCAAATCAGTGGATTGTTGTTTTCCTACCAAAATTAATAATATTTTATCTGTCAAGAAACATATGCCTTTTGGTCTTTCACTGCTCTCTAACTGAATTTGCTGGATGTTTGGCATAAACGATGGAATGACAGAATAGATTAAAATTACGTTACAAGCATTGGAAGCCACTGCCACAACCTGTGCTTTGTGATTAAATGCTATTAGATCAGGAACCAGAATGCCTGGAATGGTGACTTTTCTGGTCTGGGTAACCTTTTTCTCAAAGGTCACAAGGACCAAATGTGAAGAATCCAAACCAGTTCCTGTCAGGTAGTCCTTTTTTCTTAGACACATAAGGACATTATCCTCAGATTTAGAGCTATTGAAATGTATGTGAGTTAGATCCAGAGGATCTGAAAAAGGAGAAACTGATGTGTCGGAATTTGTTCCAGAAGGGACTGCCCCCTTATCCACAGAGGGCACCTCATCAGTAACTGGTGAAATATACAGACAAGTGTCTTCATTGGAATTTGTTCCAGAAGGGGCTACCCCCTTATCCACACAGGGCACCTCATCAGTAACTGGTGAAGTACACAGACAAGTGTCTTCATTACCAGGTGGTATGTCAAGTGTTTCAGATGCATTTAAGCTACAAATCTTCTTCATCGGAAGTTCAGTGGCTATGACGACCTGTGAGTCCACAGTGGCTCTGATGGAGCGCACATCGCTGTCCATATCAAATACTGAGCAGAAGGAGCACCTCTGAAGAGTCTTCTGAGCACTGTCCCAAATATAAGAATGTAGGCCGCTGCCTACAGCCACCACCAGCCTCTGGCCATCCTGGGTCCAACATGCGCAATGAATAAGGCCCTGGGTGTTGCTGTCCACTTTTACTCGGGAACTATCACAGTGAACATTATGGAAAATGGAGACATCCTGTGCAGTCAACACAGTCAGCACAGCTCTTTTTGGGTGCCACATACAGCCTTGGGGAAGGACAGGGTATGATTCTCTAATCTCACAGGTTGGAGACATCAACCACTTGCTGGTTTCCGTAGTACTGGGACACAGCTGCCACACAGTGACATGCTGCTTGTGCTGGACAGCGAGCAGAGGGGGTGTGTCAGCTGTACCAGGTGGGGCCCAGGCCACCCCATACACATGTTCAAATTGTCCAATGACCTTTGAGTCCCCAAACTTGGCCTCTCCACTCCGAAGCTGTATGTCAGTCAGGACTACCTGATTCCCATCTGTCCAGGCAAGGCCGTGAACTGGGTGTACTGCTTGATACAATGTATTCAGCCCGCTCCTGAGAAGTTTTCCTTTTCCCAACTCCATCCTTTCTGATGAAGGTTATCTGAAATAATTAAGAAAAACTACACCCTAAGAATATAATCAGACAAATCCAGAATGTAGGACATGTTACAAGATAATTGGCTTAGACCTTTCACAGGTCAATACTGTGAGGGGATAGAAGGACAGGAGGAATGTGGCAGTTTAAAAGAGATTATTGAGCCTTAACAAGCAAATGCAACATATAAACTTTGGATCTTAAACTGAGGAAATAGACATTTTTACCAAAAAAATCTATATAAGTGGGGAAATTACAATATGGAATGGATATTAGAAGGTATTGTAGAGTTAATAATTTTCTTAAGTGTGACCATGGCATTGTGGTTATGTAGGAAAATGTCCCTATTGTTAAGATAATGCATGTTTAAGTATTTGGGATAAAGTGTCCTAATGCCTGCAACTTGCTTTCAAATGCTTTAGAAAACAAACAAAACTTAACAAATACACAACACACACACACACACACACACACACACACGGAGAGTTAAAGAAATGTAGCAAATTTTTAATAATTGCTGAATCCAGATTGAGGCTATGTCAGTAATCGTAGGACTTTCCATTTTTAAGCTAGAAATTTTTCAAATTAAAAAGTTGAGAAAAGTCTCCTTCACTAAAAATCAATAAATAACCGATATTCACGACTCTGACTTTATTAGCACCTCCCTTCAAAATGGCCTTTACCACTCAAAAGTCACTATTGCCATTTCTACTTCATCATATTCAAATAGCATTTAATTTTCAGAAAAATTTCACATTCCCTATTGCATTTGCTCCTTGCAACAATCCTCTACAATAACGTAAAGTAGGCTAGGCAAATATTACTTTCAGTTTTTTCATTCTTAAGTTGTTGTTGTTGTTAATCTTCACCTGATATTTTTTCCATGGATTTCTTTTCTTTCTTTGTTTTTTTAGAGAGAGTGGAAGGGATGGAGGGAGGGGGAGAGAAAAAGAGAGAAACATCAATGTGAGAGAGAGACACATTGATCACATTGATTGGTTGCCTCCTGCACGCATCCCGACCAGGGCCAGGGATTGAACCTGCAACCCAGGTATGTGCCCTTGCCTAGGAATTGAACCCAAACCCTTTTGGTGCACAGGACCATGCCAACTGAGCCACACAGGCAGGGCTAAATTTTGTCTTTTAGACAAAAAATGGAGTATAAGTCAGAGTTCCTGGATATTAATAACAGAAACCACTCTAGTTAACTTAAGCAAAAAAAAAAAAAAAAAAAAAAGGTTCAAGAACCAGACTTCAGACTTACAAAACAAGCAGGAGCCAAATGAGGCTAGGCACAATAAACCACTGTTGCTCCTCTCTCTAAACAGCCGAAAATCTAACTTCTCAGCAGCTGAGAACAAACTTCACTGCCCCTTCACTTTATGTCAATTGCTTAAGATTCAGAATAGAGAGAGGCCTCTCACTGGTTGAGCTGAGTTCATATACCCTTTGCTCTAGCAGAGAGGGTTTCCTCACAAAGGCTTCTGTAGTAGGGGATGGGCTGTACCTTCCACCAAGACTCACACAAAGGGAGATTCTCCTCGAATTATGAAGGGATTTTTAAAAAATGACTGATTACCACAGGGATCATATGTTACATATTATTCACTAACTTATTTAAATCATGGGCACCTTTCCAAGTCAGAAATATAGATCTGCCTCAATCTTTTAAGCAGCTGCATTAGTAGCAGCAAGGTATCCCATATTTTGTATGTACAATATATTCAATGGTTTCCCTACAGGTGAGAATTCAGCTTGTTTCCAATTTTTATCTAGATGTGGATAGAGTAAAAAGTTTAGTACTCAGTTCTCATCACTTTTCTTTCCTTCCAATGTCAACTACTCTCGTAGTTTTTAGAAGAATTAATTTTAATATTTTCATCTTAAATAATAAGAAACAATTTGGCATATTTTTCTCAAAAACCAAATGATAATTACAAAAATCTGCTCCAATCCTTTCTACTCCATTGCTGGTCCTGGTCCTGACTACCTCTTCCTTTTCAGTAGGGCAGGATGAGGAGAAGTCCTCTGATATCAGTCTCTTTTCCCACAGAGCTGGATACTATGTGTGGTTGGACAGAATTATCTTTGAAAATAAATCACAGTTCTCATCATTTTGTTCTTCTGCTCAAATACCTTCAGTGAGTCTCCACGATCTACATATATAAAAGAAGTTCTTTCGCAATGTCTTAGGTAAGGCAATTGAGGCCTTATATTATCTGATACTGTTACAACTTTCCAACCTTATCTCCTGATCGTAAAAAGCCCTGCTGGGGAATTTGGAGGAACCAGCACACATTCATGTGACAATGTGCAGGATGGACTTAAGAAGAAAAGTGACAAGTTTAAATAAGGGGCCATGAAATAGTTTGAATGTCACAATGAGAAAGTGAGCCAAGTTTGTAGCTACTTCAGTAGAGAAAGAAGGCCTGATTCAAGAGATATTTCTAAGGCAGATGGAATAGATAATGACATCAGGTAGGATACAAGTGGTGAGAAAGAAAGGAGAATTAACGATAACACCCAAATATTTTGCTTGGGAAATTGTAAAACAGAAGGCAGAGCGTGCTCCAAAGGTTAAGAAAGGTGTGTAGTGTGTGAAAAATTTGGTATCAGATGTGCTTCATTTAATATGTCTATAGGGTAGCAATGTATCTTAGGCAGTCAGAGGTTAAAAATTTGGAAGTTAAAGCCAAAGCAGTGAACAACCTCGCTGTGAAAGATCAAAAAGTCAAGAGGACAAAAGTTGAAATGACCTTCAGGAGGTCTCCAATTATTTGGTATCTTGTAAAATATTAACACTTTTCCTTCCCCATCTTCTTTACCCAAGATGTTAACTTTGCTCCCCTCCCCCTCTCCAAGCTCCAAGGGCCCTTCTTTTGCTGCTGTAACTCGTTTCCTGAGCCCACCAAGCCCAGCTGGCTCACTTTTTCTACCTGTGACTTTCTAAATAAACTTCTGCTTGTGTTTGGAAAAAAAAATTAACACACACACACACACACAAATCTATCCAAAAAAAAATTATGATTACATACCTCCAGTCTTTTCCATGCAGTTTTGGTTAAACTTTTTCAATAACACCGTACAATTTTGTGTCACACTTTTTTTCACTTCACATGATATATTAGCATTTTACCATATTATATAAACGTTTTAAAAATTATTTTTATAGGCCACTTAATATTCACTCAGTGAAGTTGCATAATTTTCCTCACTGCAAAGACACCTACCTGGTTGTAGCCAATTTGATCCTATTACAAAAAAACGCTGTGATAAAGGTCTTTATGCATAAAGCATTTTCTTCATTTTGGATGGTTTCGTTAGGATATAGTCCCAGAAGTGTAACTCATGAGTCACGGGGAATATATTCACTCGTTTAAACCCACCGCAGCTCGTCCGCATCCAACCATCGCACGCGGGGCCCCCACCACTCTTCCCGCACGGTCCGCACACCTGGATGTCTTCCACCCTCCTCCCTACAGCAGGTCTCTCCACTTTCCGCCCCGCCCACCCACAAGCTTCCCACACCCGCCAGGCTGGGTAACAATGGAGACAAAATACCTTTGGACTCACTGCGCCACAGAAAACCAGTCCCGGAGCCGCCAATGTTCACTTAACATGGGTCTGAAGTCCGCAGCAGGTACCGGAAGCATCGACTCCAAGGCCTCTGATAGGTGAGCGATGTTCGGGAAAGTTTGGTAATGCCGCATGCCTATTGGTTTTTATACGTGTCACGTTAGTCCTCCCACTTGGCCAATAAACCCGGGCTTTGCCGCACAGATCTCTGGGAGTTGTAGTCCCGAGGAAACTCCCGACTGTAAGCCACACACAATTTCTCCCTCTCTTAAGAGGTTTAGCGCCTCCCCCCACTTATTATCGGTTCTCTTAGTCTAAGAAGGAGTACAGAAGCCCTAGAGTCAACACAGTTTCTTAACTTTTGGGGTGAGATGGGGAGTCAGGGATGGGAAGGAGTCTAGGACCGCTTTAAAATACGAAATTTCCTCAGAAAAATGTTATCTGTACACAAAAATTGTGCATTCCACTGAAGCCATTCCATTGACCTGTTCCAGTCACCCCTGTAGAACAACACCCCTGTTCTACACGTACCCCAGAAATGTCTGCCCATGGCCATAGCCCATGGACTAGTGAGTCACTAGACTTCTTTAGACCCTTACAATCCTGGGAGAATGTGGGCCACACCTTGGAGCAGCCAGTGGGGAATATCAGATCCTGACATTCATAGTACAGTTGATCGTCTTTCTTGAACAACACAGCCAATCCTCTTTCAACGACGCTGATCACCTGAAGTCTGTCCCACATAACCACCTGGGAGACTAGGTCTCCCACTATCTCTAGGGCCCACTCAGGACACCTTTGCTTAGGTTTTTCTCCCCATGCCTATCTTCCAACGCCACATGTTAGAATCATGCCTTCATGTAATTGTTGGAACAATGCAGGGAAGAGTTAGAAATAAAATTTAAAAAAAATATAACATGAGCTGCAAAAGTGCCACCGGAGAAGAAATAAAAATGTAAAGAAGAAATTTAAAGTGCCTGCCCTGGCCGATTTGGCTCAGCGGTTAGAGCGTCAGCCTGCGGTCCAGAGAGACCCAGGTTCGGTTCCTGCTAAGCACACATACTTCGGTTGCAGTTTGTCCCCGACCCTGGTTGGGTCGTGCGGGTGGCAGCTACTTGATGTGTCCCTTTCGCGTCTATGTTTCTCTCTCTCTCCCTCTCTCCCTCTCTCTCCCTCCTGCTCTGTCTGAACAGAAAATGGAAAAATGTCCTCAGGTGAGGATAAATAAATAAATAAAGTGCCATTCATTCTTCAAGCAAATGTTACTTCTTCCAACAGCAACAAAAAAATCTTTATAGATTCCTGGATCTCTTTTGGGTGGAGGAGGAACACAAGGTCGAAATCATTCATTCATTTCACAGCGCCAATCACTCCACGCTCAAGTGTCCCTACCCATCCCAGTTATAGTTCCTCGAGGATAGCGATTCTGTCTAAATTCAGTTGGTTTCCCAGGATGCAGTTCTTTTCTTTGAAAGGTGGGAACGCACCAGTGCGTGGGGCAGAGCTACCTGGGATAGTGAGTAGGGGCTTAGAGTGGGTGGAGAAGGGTCAGCAATGAATCTTTCCTCCCTCCCACTCCACCCCACCCCCTAGCTTGCTCCTGTAGATCCAGGCAGCCCAGCTCAGGCGTGTACCTCTCTGGTGCTTCCAAACGTTCTGAACCCCATGCCAGTGAGAGCATCTAGTTAAAGAGTTGGTTTAGTTGCTGGCCTTCCCCTAGTTTATGAGATCCAGTAGATTCCCCAGAGCAGATAATTATGTGAACAGAGGGTTGAAGGGATGGATAGATGGGTGAGTGGGTGGATGCGGGAAAGCCTGCATGCCTCCCTCAGCATCCTCCTCAGTCAGTGGGTCAACAATGACCGTTAGCCTGGCCAGGCTCGAGGTCGCTTCCCCGGGGCCCCGCCCCGGCCGACCCACCTTTCTCACCGCTCCGCCCCACCGCCCCCTTCCCCGTGGCCCCTCCCCGCGCAGGTCCTGACTCCCGCCGCACCTCCTCCGGCTCTGCAGTGGCGGCGGGGAGGCTAGTCGGAGCGCCAGCCGGGCTGGGGCCAGAGCCGACCCCGGGTCTGGGCAGCAGCGGGGACCCTCGGAGGCGGGGCAGTGGGACCGTGATGGGCGTGGAGATCGAGACCATCTCCCCGGGAGACGGTACCGGGCGGCGGAGCGGGAGGAAGAGGACATGTCCCGGGGTGGAGCCGGGCGGGCGGGGGTGTGATTCGGAGGTGGCGTGGAGGGTGCCCGAACGGGGGGTGGGGGGCCTAGGATGGGAGCTACCGGAGGAGATCCCAGACGGGATCGTTGGGGGTTTAAGAGCTGATCCTTGCTATCCTCTCTGCGCTGCCGGCTCACCTAGGGGAACCAAGGCGGCGGCCGGGAGACGGGGGTCCGCGGCCCGCCACCGCCCCGGAGGCCGCAGACTGCCGCGGCCGCGGCTGGAACCACTCGGTTATTCGCTACTGCTGATTTCCCAGGGCCAGGATTTAGCTCCGCTTTCCTGCCCTGCTGGGTGGGCTCTGGAAACGGGAAAAGACATGCTTTGGGGTCTCTTCTGCTCGGGCAGCCCCCTTCTAACACGTCCCCAGCCCGGCCTGCGGTCGGTCGGCCCCCTGCGGGCTGGGCGTTGAGACGCAGTAGGGACCCAGCCAGTCTGGTTAGGGAGCTGCCCGCCCCTGCCTTCCCATCTCGCTTTATCCTCCCCGCCCCGCTCAGCCTCCCCGGCCAGCCTGTCCCCTACCATGGCGTTCAGTATCGTCTGCAAACCGATGGCCTTCAAACTTAAGCCTCCAGCCCAGACCTCCGACCCGAGTTCCGGGTGTTTCATTTATCCAGCTGCGGCTAAACCTCTACCTGGATGTCCCACCCATACCTATAGACCACAAGACCAAAACAGAACTTGATCTCCTCGTTGTTTTTTGCTCCCTGCCTCTGGGATTAGCGCTCCTCGTTTCCCAAGCCAGACACCCCAGGTGTCACCCTTGTACAATTGGGTCTGCAGGTGCAAGGAATAGCTAGCTAGCTCTTTATTTCTTAAACAAAACTTAATTCAGACTGGAGCCCCCATTTCCGTAGGATTTGACATTACTGACACCAAGAAATTTGAGAACCTTTTAGAGGGCCTTATTGAAAGGCAGTGGTCCCTAGAAGTCCCACCTCTACCCAGGATCACGGGTAGTGTACAGCTTCTTTGCCAACACAGGGAAACATGTTGTTGAGTCCAAGGAAGCTTATCCCTGAGGCCTTGTCACCTCCATTCTCTTCCCTGGTTCAAAGAAGCCTCTAGAGCAGTGGTTCTCAACCTTCCTAATGCAGTTCCTCATGTTGTAGTGGGCGTTATCTGCATGAGGGCAGACGGCCTGGAGAGATAGAGGCCCGGTGTCTCGGTTCCTAAGACCATTGGAAATATTTGTTTTCTTAGGGTCTTAGGCCACCGGGTGAAAGGGTCGTTCGACCCCCCAAAGGGGTCGCGACCCACAGGTTGAGAACTGCTGCTCTGGCGTTTTCTCTCCTTATCCTCCCTCTCTGGCCAGTGACAAGGCACGTTTTCTCTTGAGAAGGAGTAGATTTTTAGGGAAAGCTTGGAGGAGCTCTGGCCTTCTACTTTCTGCCGGGTTTAAAACCCTGAGTCAAGGAAGCAAAAAAGGGCCAGACAACCATGTTGTAACCCAGGAGGGAAATATACAAATTTATATTTCTTCTTTTTTTATCCTCACCGGAGAACACTTGGGTATTTATCTTCAGATAAAGCGGGAGGGGGAGAGGGAGAAAGAGAGAGAGGGAAACATCATGTGAGAGAGTCACATCCAGTGGTTGCCACTCACACAACCCCAACCGGGCGGGGTCAAACCGCATCCCAGGTACTTGCCCTTAGCAGGAACCATACCTGGGTCTTTGTGGTGAACCTGGGTCTTTCTGGTGCACGGGCCAGTGCTCGAACCGTTGAGCCAAACTGGCCAGGGCTACAGATTTATATTTCAACACGCGTGTGTCAATGCTGTGTGTGCCTATCTTGGTTGAGCCTCACACCAAGTTCTGTCAGGTCCTCCTGCTGAAATCTCTAGGCTCCATCCTCTGCCTTGGTTCAGGCCACCATCATCTGTCACTGGGATTTCTGAGCAGCCTCCAAATTACTCTTCTCACCTCCAGTCCCACCTCCCTGCCTTCCATTTGGCCTCCCCCCCTCACTCCTGCTCATTTTCTACACAGCAGCTTTTTGGCCATGTCCCTCCCTAGGCATAAAACATTTTAGCGAATCTTCGATCTCCTTCTCCAGGCAGATGGTAAGATAATCTATTCTTTTTTTTTTTTTTTTTTCAATCCTCACCCGAGGATTGATTTTTAGAGAGAGAGAGGAAGGGAGAGAGGGAGAGAGAAACAGATGTGAGAGAGAAACATTGATTGGTTGCCTCCCATGTGCGCCCAACAGAGGACTGAAACCACAACCTAGGTATGTGCCCTGACCGGGAATCAAACCTTAGCCTTTTGGTGTATAGGATAACACTCCAACCAACTGAGCCACTCATCCAGGGCAAAATAACCTATTCTTATTTCCATGCCAGAGTATCATCTCTCACTATCAGTCCCTACCCCTGGTACCAACTTTTTCTCCAGTTTTAGCAAGCTGCTTGAAAGTTGTTAAACACCAGTCACTCAGCAAATATTTATTGAATATGTACTGTGTGCAAGGCCTGGTGATAGCAGTGAACCAGCAGGACTCCCACTGTGCTTGACTCTAGGCCTTCGAATGTGTTGTTCACTCTTCCCAGACTATCTCTCTGTAATTCCTCTGGCAAACTACTCATCTTTTAAGATCTCATTTCAACTACTATCTCCTTTCTGATGCTTTCCCTGGCACCCACAGTCAGCTGCCCCCCACTGTGGCTTCCCATAGAGTTCTCTAAGTGTTGGCTCGGTTGTTAGCCCTCCCAAGGCATAGTTATCCAGCCTCATGGCTTTAAATTCCACCCAAATTGATACCTCCAGTGCAGACTCTCCATCTGCCTACTTGCAATATAAACTCAGATGTCTAATAGGCATCTCAAGATGGCCACCCACACAAATCTGTCCTCCACAGTCTTCCCCATCTCAGGAATTCATTCCACCATCCATCCAGCTGCCCAGACTGAAAACCCAAGCATAGTGCTTGACTTTTCCTTCTCCCCCACCCTAGATCCCATCTCCACTCCATTAGCTTACATACCCTGTCAGCTTGGCTTCCAGAATATATCTCCAATCTCTTTGGCTCTCTTCTCTGCTGCCACCACGTTAATTCAAGCCATCATTGATTTCTTGTCTGGATTTCTGCAACAGGCGCCTGACCGTCTATCCTACACACAGCAGCCAGAGTGATCTTATAAAATCTTAATTCAGATTATATCATTCTTGCTTAAAACTCTCCAGTGGCTTCCTGTTGCACTTAGAATTAAATTCAACTCTGCAAGGCCTGGCATGGCCCAGCTCTATCCCACTCATCTCTTCCTTCCGGCCTTCTTTCCAGTCTCCTGGCCTTTCTGTTCTGCAAATGCACCGATCCTTTCCTGCCTCGCAGTTTGTGCACTTGCTGATCTCTCTTCCTTCAGTGCTTTTCCATCATTTGTTCATCTTTCAAGTCTCAGCTCTGAGAGGCCCTCCTGGACCACCCTTTCTAAAATGGCCTGCCACTCTCTCCCTCTTTAATGATGCATCTTTAGAGAACGTATCACAATCTATAATTATCTTGTTTATTTGAGGATTATTAATCTCCTTCCATTAGAATGTAGACTCCAAAAGGGTGGGGATCTTGCCTGTGTGGTTCACTGCTGTATCCCCCAAATCAGGCCCAGGCCTCACATATAATAGATGTTCAGTAAATATTTGTGAATGATTATGTTTATTCATCTTTGGTCAGAGTCATCACCCTGCCTCAGAACCTACTTATTTATGTGTCTGTTTCCTTAACTTCATCATGAGTTCATACATTGCTCTGTATTTCTGGAATCTAGTCCAGGTCTGGCACATAGTAGGTTGTCAGTGAATGTTGTGGAATGGGTGAGGGAAAGTAAAAGGAGCCATCAAAGTAAGGAGAAGAACCAGGAGAGAATGAACCCAAGGAGTTGAGGAACCCAGGAAATAAAGTTGAAATCAAGGCCAGAGAAGTGACCTGACTAATCTGGCTTATACAAGGTACAGAGCCAGAACTAGAGCCATGGCATCTTCCTGGTATGGAGAGGAGTGTGGGCCAATCACACCTGACTGTCTCAGGTGACTTCTTCTAATATATTATTTGTTTATCTGCCCTCATGTCTTCTTGCAGGAAGGACATTCCCCAAGAAGGGGCAGACGTGTGTCGTACACTACACAGGTAGGCCTTGGTCCCCCAGCCCTCATCAGACCTGCCCCTCCCAAGGTAGGTCTCTCCTCTGATACTTCTCTCCAGAGGCATCTGCTCCCCTAGATCAGGCCCAAAATCCAAGGCAAGTCTCCCTCTAACCGGCTATGCCCCACTTCTCCCGGCCAGCCTATGGGAATGAGAAAGAGGGTTTGCAAGGTTAACCCCTCACGACTTAGACCAGCAAGAGCCGTCACGGTGCCAGCCTCTAACTGAGCCAAGCCACTCCATTCCTTGCCTCTGTGTGGACAGACTGGAACCCTGGCCCTCCCGGTTGTGTCTGATATTTGGAAATCCCTTTGTATAGCTCTGCGAGCCCTGACCGTCCCCGCAGACTCCCTTTTCATCCTCCGGTATTATTAGAGGAGGGTGGCTTCCTCAGATCGGCCTTTCTTTTTTCAGAAATAGACTCTTCAATTCAGCCTACTGTGATTGAGCACCTACCATGTGCAAGATGCTGTGTTGGGCACCGGGGGCAGAGATGAAAAGGGAGAATTCCCACCTTCTTTGGGACTAGGAGGGGTGGGAGAGGGCAGACAAGTCATCCCGAGGCTCCAGTGCATGTGAGGGGTGGGGTGACAGCATCGCTGTGGGAGCCGGGGGAGGCGCTGCAGCTCTGGGGACCCCTCTAGCATGATCTGTATTAGGACAGGTGGGCTGAAGAATGTTCTAGATGGGGTTCCTGAGGACTGCTGGCAGGAAGATCACAAGCAGGTGTTTGTTCCACAGGGGGGTGAGTTCTCTGTCTTGTGACCTGCTTCCCAATGTGGCAAACCTGGTGACAGCCACTTAGCAGAAAGCAAGGCCAGTTTCATTCCCAGGGCGTATTGAGATGGGGCCATTTTTAGCAGTTCTCTGGGCCAGTGTGAAGCGCAGGTTAATTCTAGGCAGATACTGTGGGTATTTTTCTCAACTGCTGTGTTGCTGGCCGCTGACGTCAGTGGCTGGGGCTGTATTTTATCTCCCGGTGATGTGGCCTAATTACCATGAATCTTCTGGGGCCTCTGACCTGTGTAATCGATTTATCTGTTCTACATGTTGCAGACAGATCTGTACTTATCAAGTTACTGAGACCACAACATCCTTTTGCAAAGACTTTTCATGATACATACAGAGAGCAGGCCACATGTATTACACAGTAACATCAGCCATGAGCAGCTCTGGTTTGGGAAGGGACTGTCTCATCAAACACAGCAAGAGATTATATGGGACTTTTTGGTAAACGTTTTTATTAACTAGAAATACAGGAGAGAACATAAATCTAAGATCTACAGCTCCATGAAATTTTTCCAAGTGATCACACTTAGGTAACCACCACCCAGATCAATATATGCATTTCCTGCACCCCCCGGAGTTTTCCTCCTGTCTCCTCCCAGTTTTCACACTTCCCTGAAGGTAACCAGTGTTCTCACTTTTAACCCCATGCATTGGTTTTGCCTGTTTTTGAATGTCATATAAGTGGAATCATAGAGTGTGTACTTGTATTTCCCTTTAATCCTCACCTGAGGATATGTTTATTGATTTTTGAGAGAGAGAGAGAGAGAGAAACATCGATGTGAGAGAGAAACATTGATCGGTTGCCTCCTGTATGCATCCTGACTGGGGATTGAACCCACAACCTTTTGGTGTATGGGACAGGTGCTCCAACCAACTGAGCCACCTGGCCAGGGCTAGAGTATACTCTTTTATGTTTGGCTTATTTCACTCAATATTATGTCTGTGAGATTTATCCAGAGTGGCTGTTCTTTTTTATTTTTGTCCAGTTCATTATATGAATATACTAGTTATCCTTCCTATAGTTGATGACCATTTGGGTTGTTTATGGTTTTGGGTTATCATGAATAGCCTTGCTTTGAACAGTCTTGTAAGATATCTTTTGCTGAACATGTCTACCCATTTCGGCTGGGTATATACCAGGAAGTGGAATTGCTAGGGCATAGGGCTATACCTGCTCAGCTTCACCAGATACTATAAATAGCTTTCCAAAGTGGTTGTGCCAATTTCCTCTTCCACCTGCAATGTGTGAGAGTTCCAGTTCTCCTACATCCTCACCACACTTGGTTTTACCAGGGTTTTTTTAATTGTTGGCCCACTCTCGTTGCCACAGTGGTATCTCACTGTGGTTAGAATTGCATTGTCCTGAAGACTCATGAAGTTGAGTAGCTTTTCATGTGCTTATTGGCCATTTGGATATCCTCTTTAGTCTGCTCAAATTCTGTCCATTAAAAAAAATAGATTGTCTTTTTCTTTTGATTTATAGGAAATCTTTACTTATTCTAGATATGTCCTTTGTTGGTTATACCTACTTCAAACATCTCCCATGCTATGACTTGTCTTTTACTTTATTATTGTCATATATATTTTTTTAAAATGTTTTTTCTTTATTGATCTGAGAGAGAGAAAAATGGAGGGAGAGAGAGAGAGAGAGAAAGAGAGAAACATCAATGAGAGAGAACATCGACTGGCCGCCTCCTGCATGCCCCCCACTGGGGATCAGGCCCACAATCTAGACATGTGCCCTGACCAGGAATCGAACCAGCAACTTCTTGGTGCATGGGTCGACTCTCAACCACTGAGCCAACCGGCTGAGCTGTTGTCATATTTTTAACAGAAGGTCTTAATTTTCATGAAATCCTACATATCAATATTTTCCTTTATAGTTAGTCCCTTTTGTGTTGAGAAATCTTTGTCTACCCTTAGGTCATAAAGATATTCTTCTATTTAGTATCCTGTAGAAACTTTATTATTTTATCTTTCAATTTAGGTCTGATTCATCTGGAATTGTTTTCTTTGTGTGTGGGTGAAGTAGAGGGGTCAATGTTCATTTCCCCCCTATAGACTTACAGTTGATCCAGCAACATTAATTTAAAAAATCATCCTTTATAGGTTGCATTGCAGCATCACCTTTGTCAAATCAAGCACCATATTTTGGGTTTGTTGCTGGACTGCATGGTTTTGGCTGAACTTGTAGCAGGAGATAACTGTATATGATCTGAAGTAGATTAAGTCATATAAAACCTGAAGAAATTGGGACATGAAAAAGTCTTTAAATGGAGTGTGTAAATGTATGTGTGCATATCCATATGTATTTGTCCAAGTACATGTCCATGTGAATATATAGAGATCTGTGTATCTAAATATTTTCTTAGCATCTGTTGGCATCAGGATTTTTCTTCTGAGTATGTGTGCATAAGTGCATCTGAGCATGCATGAGGATCTCTGTGAATCTGAACATCTTAGCAACCTGTGTATCATAAACGTGTATTTGATCTCCTTAATATCCATCTATGTAGCATAGGGTTTTCTCCTTTGCCTGATTTAGTACCCAGGGCAAGGGCCCAATTTATTCTACCCAGAAGGCTCCTGGTAGTGACTGTCCCTTGTGTACAGTTCTAGGAATTAGAAGGAATCATGGATGTTCAGATACTAAGCTGGGCCACACTTCCTATGTTAAGCATGGTAAATCTGAGGCCATGAGAAAGGGAGTGATTTGCCTAACTTCATACAATGAGTTACTGTCACAGTGAAGTCAGGATCTAGTCTCTGTACTGACAGGGCAGGTCTTTCTTTGGTTTCCAATTGTCTTTTTGTTTTTATATATTTTTAAATTTTTTATTGATTTTAGAGTGAGGGAGAGGGAGAGATAGAAACATCGATGAGAGAGAACATCGATTGGCCACCTCCTGCATGCCCCCCCATAGGGTATCGGGCCCATAACCCAGGCACATGCCCTGACCAGGAATTGGACCGGCAACCTCTTGGTGCATGGGTCAATGTTCAGTCACTGAGCTGGGCTCAATTACCTTTTGTTGTGGTTCAAGGACTGTAGGAACTCTTACTTCGAACAGCATCATTTGCAGGTCTGATCTTTGGGTCAGTCACCAATGAGAAAAATAGAAGAGCTCTCAGGCCTTAGGCAGCTAGAATGAGATAACATGTGTATATCACGGATAACAAGGCATATGCAGCTGGAGGGATGGATGCTCCAAACTGCTGAGGACAGCATCCAGGGTGTTCTCGGTCAAACAGCCCCATTTGTATTTGCCCTGGAGGCCACCACTGATTGGCTGGGTCACCTTATACTGTTCACTGTGACCTTTGGGTTTTGCATGTTGGGGAAACCTTGGTAAAACCACATAAGGACTCAATCTGAGGGGAAATGCCTGGGAAAACATCTTCAGGATGAGAAAGTGGCCCTGCCAAAAGGTTGTGGAGGTATTTGAGAAAGGTGTGACCTGAATAGGACATGGTGGGGAAGGAGAGGGAAGAAAAAGGAGAGCAGAGTTATCAGGCAGGCAACAGCCAGGTCTTGAAGTAAGAGTGGAGCAAAGATCGGTTAGAGGCAGTTCCTATATACAAGTAAGACATGATGGTGACCCGCTGAAGCCCCAGGATGGTGGTAATAGAAATAGAGAAGATAGGTGATTCTAAAGATATGTAGGACTTGTTGATAGGCTTTATATTGGGTACAGCAGAGGGAAGAGTCCATGTTTCTGTTTGGGCAACAGGACTGATGAGGAAGATTGGAAGAGGTTTGTGCAGAACAGCCATTCCATTTTAGATGCATAGAACCTAAATTGGGAGTTGACTTATGACCACATCTCTTTTCCACCTTATTCTTGCTTTCACAGGAATGCTCCAAAATGGGAAGAAATTTGATTCATCCAGAGACAGAAACAAACCTTTCAAGTTCAGAATTGGGAAACAGGAAGTCATCAAGGGTTTTGAAGAGGGTGCAGCCCAGGTAGGATGAGGATCCTTGTTATGGGGGATTTGAAGAGTTGGGGATCTGGGCTCAACACTGCCTCCACCCTATCACGACCACTATTGCTTTGCCTACTGCCAGGGCATGGCCACACCATCTAGATTCAGTTCTGGCTTTGTGTCTCTACCTCTTTTGTTGCCAGCATGACTCCGTGTCACTGGGGGCTCTTATCTCAAGCTCATCCCCCCAGGTTTGCTTAGATCTAGCTGGGAGGCTTTTGAGCTACCAGCTGTCCCTGCAGAAGAAGAGTTGGGGTAGGGTAGGCCAAGGTGAGGTGTTTTTTTCAACTTAAAAAAAAAAAAAGTTTCAGACTTACAAAAATATTACAGGTATAGTAGAGTTCCCATATATTCTTCATCCAGCTTTCCCAAATGTTAACATTTTACACAAATATAATACAATGGTAAAATCCAGGACATCAACGTTGATGCAATATGATGAACCAGTCCATTCAAATTTTGAGTCAGACGTTCAAAATTTAAAAATCAGTTTATTCAAGTTTCACCAATAGTCTCACTAATGCCAGGCCAGTTTTTGATGACTGCTGTGATGAGCCCTGGTCCAAGCTCTGCGTCCTTAGTCTCTGGTCATAGGACACTCCATTACAGTTCTTTTAGCCCTCTCCACCTTGCTGTGGCTCTGGTCTTAAGCTCTCTAATGAACTGCCTGCCGCCTACTTGATTGTGTACATGTGCTCTTTAGGTTTCTTTGGAGGAGGGTGAGGAACAATAATGAACAAATAGAAATGTTTGGGTCGTATACTAATTGAATAACCAGCAATGTTTGTTGGATGAATGGATTTGAGACTGCTTTGTGGAAGTTGTTGTCCCACAGTCAAGTTTCTGCTCTTCTGAGGCAGAATCTGCATGTGTCACAACTCAGCACAACTTCAACGTGCCATGTATAAAATTCATCTTAGATTTTCAGAGTTACCACGAGGATGGTTTGGGAAAATGCCATAGTTATCTTACTTTTTTCTTTTAAGTCAAGCTGGGTCCTCTTTCTCCTCTCCCCATCTGCCCCCATCCCTGCTAGATGAGCTTGGGGCAGAGGGCGAAGCTGACCTGCACCCCTGATGTGGCGTATGGAGCCACGGGCCACCCTGGTGTCATCCCTCCCAATGCCACCCTCATCTTTGACGTGGAGCTGCTCAACTTAGAGTGAAGGCAGGAAGGAACTTAAGGTGGCTGGAGATGGCTGCTGCTCACCCTCCTAGCCTGCTCTGCCACTGGGACGGCTCCTCCTGCTTGGGGCTCTTGATCAGTGCGCTAACCTCACCGCCCACGACATTATCCATTCTCTCTGCCCAGGTTGCTCTGTACATGTTGGTCATTGTTCACGTGCATCTTTGCTTGAGGAAACTTCGGTTGCAGATCAAAACAGGTTGTGCATTTTGCGTGATGCATGTAGTAGCCATTCCTGATCACAGAACACAGATTTCTTGTTTGCACAATCGACACTGCCTTACCTTCACTTAAGCCAGACACACAAGGTGCTCAGACATGAAATGTACATGGTATACACAGAGGGACTTGAGCCAGTTACCTTTGCTGTCACTTTCTCTCTTAGAAATTGTTGGCTGCTGACTTACAAATTGTCCTATTTGGAAATGACATGTAAAATAAAGGCTCTGTGCTTGACAAATTCCTGTCCATCTTTATTGTAGGTAGAAGTTCTTTAAGGACCACATAAGCCAGTCGCCCTTGGGAAAAAGTGGAAAGGAGCCTTCCAAGTAGCTAAGAGAGTTATAATAAATGTAATAATTACAATGTGAGTACTGTACATGTTGGGCCTTGTTCTGTATATTTTTATTTTTAATGTTTTTATTTAATAAAAACATTTTTTTTAGGGAGAGATAGAGAAACATGAATGTGAGAGAAACATGGATCGGCTGCCTTCTGCATGCCCCCTACTGGGGATCAAGCCTGAAACCCAAGCATGTGCCCTAATTTGGAATCAAACCAGGACCTCTCAGTCCATGGGAAGATGCTCAATCCACTGAGCCACACTGGCCAGGCTATTCTGTATATTTTAAAATAAAATTATCACCAATCCTCTAAGCAGCCCTACAAAGTAGGTATTATTTGACTCATCTCACAGGCTCAAGTCTCTTCGGAATAACTAAAGGAATGTACTGTGTTCAAATCCCATAGCCTGGCAATCAAACGTGGGACTTCAGCACTTGGTGATCTTATGATCTGTTTGGACTTAAAGGGATGTGCTCCCTTCAACAGATGGAAAAGAACAGTGTGCATCTGAACATGTAAAGGTGTGGTCGGGCCTTAGGGCCATATACCAACTCACACGGGGAAGTTACTTTTGAAAAGACTGTGATTCTAAGCTTGTTTTTACATTAATTGTTTAGTTGCATCTAGATTTGCTCTAACTTACATTGGGGAATTACTTCAAAGAAGAATGTTTAATTCTGTATTGTTTCCACCTACACTGCTTAATGTAATCAACATTTACTGTAACTCACAGCAATTCCCAGGTAGGTTTTAAAATCAGCCCACTTACTGGTGTGTTCATCAAAGGAACCTGGGGCAATGTGGCTAAAAGATTTTTCTTCTAGTTGGCATAGCTCCTAAATTTAGCGAGAGGTATTCTGTCAGTGATGACTTGAAATTGTAAGACTGAGGAGGGAACAGGTACTGTTAGTTTCCTTCACAGACTCACGTCACAGATATGATATGGGGGCCACATCATCTTGGCTACTGCATCTACCCTGGAAGTCCTGGCTGTGATCCTTTGCTGAGGACTGAAGAGTGAAAAGAAGCAGTGCTGTAACATGGAGAGAATGAAAGGAGAAAGGGGCTGCCTTGCTCTTAATCACCTAGTCCCTGGGCTCACTTCTGCTATGGAACTAGACCTGCTAGAGTGCTGCATCCATTCCTTTCTGGGCTATTTCCTTCACCTGTTTAAGCTCCCAGCTTCCCTTGATGACACAAACGTCTGTGATTTCTTAGAACTCAGCTTGTTTTCTGCTGAGACACCAATAGGATAACTAAAAATTGCACCAAGGACCACTGCAGGTGACCATTATGGAGTCGTATAAAAGATTTGTCTTTATGTATAGCCTAGGTGGTAAAAAGAGATACCCACTAAGAACCAACATAAAGAAAAAATCGCAGATACCTACTGGTTAGCACTGAGAGGACATGCTAGGCTTTGCAGGCCCTGCTTTGCTGGCAGTCTTAAAAGATGACGCAGAGAATTATGATGCAGTATACTCAAAAGTCTGAACACTGTCCTGTGAGAGCCACTGAAAGCTGTTAAGCAGGAGAATGATAAGCTGTCATATCAGTTATTTTCAAACTTCTGGTCAATATGTTCTAGAGTCATACAAATCTTTCTTAGAAACTTGAATTTAGCCTCGAAGAATGTCAAGCAGCTCTGGCAGACACGTGTCTGCACATGCGTGTGCATGGACACAATCATTCCTTGCACCCTTAAAAGCAGTTTGAAAAGCTGAGCCTTAGATGCCTGGTGCAGAGGACCAATTGGAACTATATCCTTAGCATCTCAGTACACACAGACCCAGCACTGAGTAGGTCCTCAATATTTGTCTGCTAAATTAAAGCTCTTATGTCTTAACTGGAACAGGCCACAATATTGCCACACAATTAAGAGTGAATTTTTGAAACTCTTTGATCATGAAATTCAGCTAACAGATATATGAATCCAAATGATGGACCAACCACAACTGTCAATAGGACTTTCCCCTCGTTATTAATTTAAAACAACTATACTACTGACAAGCCAGTCTGCCACTTAGATGTATCACTATAAGTCAGTCTAATTTGTTTTCCTTTTACAAAAATGTCTTTTAGAAAATTCTTTTTACATTTGTAAATACCTAAAGGCACATCATGCATTACAAAAATTGAAGCGGAATTCACAAAAGCAGTCCTAAGAAAAGCACAGCTGTGGCTCCTTTGTCAACCGCCTGCCCTTCTTAGAAATGACTCTTACAGAGCTTTCAAAAAGCACTCAGACATAATAAATAAAAAAGACAATAATTTCTTCATTTTCAATAGTAGGCTTTGAGAAGAAAGTACAAAAGGATAAACTAGCCTATTTTCTTAAAGTAATGACAGATTGCAAAGCTAAGTGCATTTAAAAGTAGAACAGATGCTCTTTGTCCATTTAAATGATTCAGTCCTGTACCCTTCAAGTTGGTTTTGGGTTCTAGTTTTATATTTATATATATAAAATTAGTCCATGTTCTTCCATTTGGCCCATGCCTAAACTATAGAAAGAAAATTATAGCTATCTCCTCCTAGCTACCAAGCTATGATGAATGTGGTAATAACTATACTATTTCCATCCCATGGGAACTCATGATTATAAGAACATCACATATTATTTTAATAGCAAAGATATACTATGTACTAAGGTCCCAAACATACACAGACACTTATTATTAACTAAACAGAAAGACTACATTGATACAGTCTGACACATGAAACAACCAACACTACCCAAGCTGCTTGCTCTCAAATTTCTAACAATGTGCTGTTGTTTGAATGGCCACTTCTAGAATAGACCTCTGTTCTAAACACAGGGGTACCCATATTGACAAAGGTCTTTTGGTTAAATGTAAATTATTATTCAAATATACTGGCATGGCTAATAATTGGTTATTACAACAACTTTTAATGTAAGCATTTTATTCATTCAAGCAACACAATGAGCTTTGATTTCCTTGTCTGCAAAATGGAGATATCGAACTTCACTGAGTTATTATGGATATTTCATTATTAATTGACATTCAATACATGACAACCCTCTAACAAGTTTCCTGATGGCTAAGCACTGGATTGCACGCTGGAGGCTCAGTCTCGGATCACCTACCACCAAAGAATTCTTAAGAGTTTTTTTTTTCCTTTCCATTTTTTGTTCAGGTAGAGTGGGAGGGAAAGAGAGAGGGAGAAACATCGATGAGAAAGGGACACATTGAGTGGTTGCCACCCACACAACCCAACCAGGGCCATAGACAAAACGCAACCAAGGTACGTGCCCTTAGTGGGAACCGAACCCGGGTCTCTCTGGACCACAGGCTAACGCTCTAACTGCTGAGCCAAACTGGCCAGGGCTCTTAAGAGGTTTTAACTGCTGCCCCCCACCTTCCACCCCTATCCAACAGGAAGGGAAAGTTCAAGAGAAAACATTGATGTTTTACAAAAAGCTACAAGTTTACTAACAATTTATTCTAACATGTATCAAAGTTCAAGTAGGTCATTTTTAACCTCAAATAAGAAATTGCAGTATTCAGTATTAACTAAAAACTAAAAAGGGTAGTGGTGGTGATTCACAGAGTTTCAGTCCAAAATAAAATGCAGAAAATGTTTACTTTGGTGGATCTGTGTTGATGCCATATTTCTCCTTGAGAAGCTTAAACTGTTCTTCCTTTTTCTTCGTGTCCATCTTCTGAAATGCCTGCAAATGTGGTAAGCACCAAAGTTAACAGTTACCAATCTGTAGTCAAATGAGTTCCACTAATAGCACCAGCCAAAAAAGAACTGAGGAGCCATCTCCCCTAATGGTGCAGTTCTGCGTTATCTTATATGGGCTCCCACACGACAAGAACTGTGGCTATACTTACCCTGTTGGCATTATAGTACAAAACCACGAGGTATCTGTTACAAACATTGAATCCTGACAGGTGATCACATGCATTCTTGGCATCGAAGATGTCCTCATACACCACATAAGCGGTTCCTCTAGTTTCAGGTGTGTTCCCCCTGCAGAGTTGAATCAGACTTAATGAAATACACATTTACCTGAAAACCATTAGAGTAAATAAACATTATGGATAGGTATGCTGGATAAGCCTATAAATTACTTGAACTAGGTAATTTTTGTTTGTAAATAAAATAGCTACAGGTTAAACTTACTGTTGTATCAAGAATACTAATATAGCTACTAAACCAATAACAGCAAAGAACAAGCCTGAAACTGCATCACAGTCTTCATGTTCTAATCTTTCCTACATTTCATACTAAGAACGAATTTTCAGTCTTACACTGGAAAGTACAGTACTGAAGAGTGATGGCTATTAGTCAACAGTGTCTGAATAGAGTTTTTGTTTTTTAAAATAAATAGTTTTTAATTTAATTTTTATTTATTGATTGTAGAGAGAGAGAGAGAAACATTGACCTGCTGTTCTATCCATTTATGCATTCACTGGTTGTTTCTTATATGTGCCCCGACTAGGGATCAAACCCACAACCTTGGCATATTGGGATAACGCTCTAACCAACTGAGCTACCCAGCCAGGGATGAATGGATTTTTTCTTACTGTGCATTTATGAAACAGAACCAATACTTTATTTACCAGACTACCACCTGGAAACTAGTCCCTTGTTTCTAAAGATTTAGATTTCCCCTTACCCTAATTTAATTATAGTTTCAATTCTTAAAAATAAGACAGTCTCCATCAATGCAGGAAATAAGTTTCCAGGCAATATTTTACTAAAGTTTATTAAACCCATAAGAATCTATTTTGTGGGAGAGAAGCCCCTACACCAAGATGGCAAAATTCTAAACAAGATACATATATAAGTCAGCCATCATTCTTTATGACCAGAAAAGGATGTCCTCCAATGTAGAGAGAATTAATGTAGTTTCTTCCACTTTTCTAAGAAAAGTCTTGCCTTTTAAAAATGTAATATAGTAAGCCCGGCTGGTGTGGCTTAGTGGATTGGGCATCGTCCCATGGACTAAGAAGTCCCAGTACAATTCCTGGTCAGGGCATGTGCCCGGGTTGCAGGCTCAATCCCCAGTAGGAGGCAGCCAATCGATGTTTCTCTCTCACATCAATGATTCTATCTCTCTCTCTCTAGAAAAAAAATCAATAAAAACGTAAACTGTAGTATAGTCAGCCCCTTATTTTCATACATTCGTTTTTGATACAATCTGTACTGTGATGCATTAAAACCCCTCTGGCTGGGGAAAAGGGCCGAACTTTTGCAGAGATTGGGGTGGAAGCATGCTTGTGAGTGGGGTTATCTGTGAGCCAGAGCAGAATGCTGACAGGTAGCTGAAGTGAAACTGTACTTGCTCAGGGATATGGAGCTGCTTCCTTACCATCTCCTCTCATCTCACCAGCTCCTGTCAGGGGGGTGGGAAGGGAAGTGTAAGGGGCAACAAACTGCAGGCAGCAGAAGGCCATGTACTTATTAGTGGGGAGAGCAGTCAGAGATCCTATTCAGCTATGCTCCGGTGTGATAAAGATGGACCCCTCGCCTCCATCTACGTTCCAGCTATCCTATGCAATCGTGGAATAAGGTTTAAGACCATGGTCTGCCATCGTCCCTGCACAGGGTCAAGGAAAGGGAGGGGCCGTGGGAAGGGGAAGCACCTGCCTAGATCTGATGTAGGACGAGACTATAGTCTTGGGCCTCAGTCAGAACTTGTGCTTCCTGTACAGGGGATAGGATAGGTATAGAGGGCTGGGGTGTTGGAGGGTGCCAATACCCTCCAACTGAATGCTCTCACTCTGTCAGGCTGCATGGGTCTGGTGAGGGAATTTATAATACTCTCTACTCTCTGGGAAGTCTTAACAACTTTTAGACTTTTTACTTCTAATCACTTTCAAGAATGCACCAGGTATGAAAGCTGGACTGCCCGAAGGGAAATACACTGCTCCAAAGACTTCCCCAAAGAGTCTACCAAATTTTCCCTTTGGGATAAAACACAGTCTCCCTCTCACACCTTCTTAGAAAGAAAAGGGATAGGCAGTAACTGCATTTTATTTTATTTATTTTTTTACTTATTGATTTTAGAGAGAGAGGAAGTGGGGAGAAAGAAACATCAATTTTATTGTACCAGTTATTTATGCATTCATTGGCTGGTTGATTCTTGTATGTGCTGTGACCCATCCCCATGAGCTTGGTGTATTGGGATAATGCTCTAACCAACTACGCTACTTGGCTAGGGCAATAATTGCATTTTAAAGGCTCTCCATCTTAATTGTCCCAGCCCTAATTATCAACCTATTACTTTGAGAACCACATTGTGATTTTAACTTTTCAAAGCATATACTTTGTAGCTACTAAATAACATTAGGCCAACATTTTCTTGATCGGTGGTAAAAGCTTGGAGCAGGAATAAGAATACCTAATCACTAACTTAAGCTCTCTGAGTTGTGATTCACTTATGCTCATATCACAAAATTTATTGGTAAGTTGCTTCATGTGTCAAATAGTGACACCAGAGTCTATCATACCCTTATTCTACATGTGATTTTAATAATCAAAAGAGGTAACAAGAAAGGGCTTTAAAAAGTTCAAAGCACCATGCCCGTGTCTGCTACATGCTAGGTAAGAGGACTAATCGTCCCAGTTTGCCCAAAGCTGTCCAGTTTTTAGCACTGAAAAATCCAGAAAACCCTGGAGTCCTGGGCAAACTGGGAAGGTCGGTCACATTACGGCTGGGTGCCAAGTATACCATAAAGCATGAGCACAGCAACAGGACAGAAAAACATGTTTCTCAATCTATAATTTAGACCCAAATTCCTGCAAACCAAACTTTTCTCTAACTTTGCTGATGTAAGTAAGCATCCCTTATTTGTGTACTACCAATAAATTTTGTAACATGTTCATAAGTTAATCACAACCACACTACCATTTTGTGTAGTATATTATTTGCGTACTTATACACATTGGGTGGTTAGCGTGCATCAGTCACAAGTGTGAAAAAAATACCTGGAACTGCCCTGGAGGAGCTCATAGGCTGGCAGGAGAAACAGGTGAGTAAACAGAGAGCAAAAGCAAAAGCATGTGTTAACTAAGAAGAGATGTTCATGGAAGGTGCTATGGGGACATAGAGAGGGGTGGCTAATGCACACTGGGAAGGAAATACCCCACAACAAAGCGCCACAAGCATATCTAATTTGATCCTCACTAAAATTATTTAAAGAGAACAGGTTAGGAAGACTGTACTTCATGGATAATTGAAGCTCAGAGGGGTAAAATATTTTGTTCCATTTCACATGACTAGCAAGTGCTCATTTAGTATTTGAACCTAGATTTTAACCAATGCAGTACACTTATCATGTTGCCTCCATATTAAACGCTGAAAGGCACCATCTGTCCAGATTATTTTACATGTGAGGAAATAGAGAAGCTAGAAAACTCCTTTTACTCTCTGGGCCTTGACGGTCTCACCTGTGAAACAGACATGTATCACCTCCACACAGAGCTGAATGATAGTGATGCAAACAAAATCACCTATTACAACAAATGGCATTTAGTAGATGTTCAAGAAATATCATTTCAAGGTATAAAGCCTTCAATTTAAATTTGGATTTAGTTTAAATTAAAACATGACTCAGTGTTGTAATTATTTTCCCCTATACTTTTTTTTTTTTTTTAAATCCTCACCTGAGGACATTTTTGCATTTATCTTCAGGTAGAGCAGGAAGGAGAGGGAGGAAGAGAGAGAGAGAAACATTGATGTGAGAGAGACACACCGACTGGCTGCCACCCACACGACCCCAACCGTGGCTGGAGACAAACTGCAATTGAGGTATGTGCCCTTAGCAGGAACCAAACCCAGGACTGTCTGGTCCATGGGCCGATACTCTAACCACTGAGCAAAACTGGCCTGGGCTCCACTATACTTTTTATTTAGTATTGTTTTGCTTTACATGGTAGTATTACAAGTAATATCACTTTATTTCTCCAAAATGAGACTATATGGAAAAAAATCAGAGAATTACTGATATTTTTAAAGAGCAGATCAGGGGAGGTTTCTCCTATACTTTTAATTTTTTTTATTTTTATTTTTTAAATTTATTTTAGATAGAGAGGAAGAGAGAGGTACAGCGAGATACAAACATTGATGAGAGAACAGATTGGCTGCCTCCTGCCCGCCCTGTACTGGGGATTTGGCCCACAACCTGGGCATGTGCCCTGACTAGGAATTGAACCAGTGAATTCTTGGTGCATGGGTCGACTCTCAACCATTGAGCCACATGGGCTGGGCATCCCCTATACTTTTAAATCTTCCACAGAAAGGTGTAGTTGAAAAACATTTTTTTTGTTCTGTGTTACTTTTATATCCCATTACTCAGTTTATTCAGAAATTCTGGAGTCAATAAAGGAGACAGTGAAGATTGTTAAGAAAATTAGAATTAATGCATATAAAAAAGATAGCTTAGTTTTTGACTTCACAAATAGTAGGTATACAATAAATATTGGTTCCTTCCCTTCCCTTCCAGTCCTCTCAAACCATTCAGGTTCTCTTTAATTTCACAACTAGCTGGCTCTCATTGAGCTGGATCATGAGGGTCTCAGTAGGTATTTTCCCTTGCATAAAAGAAAAAGAAAAATCTCATCTCCCTGACTTCAATCTATTAACCTCTAGGCTCTCAGGCCCCACTGTCAGGTATAGTTCCAAGATTATAGATTTTTTTTTTAAATGCATTTCAAAAGTTGCAGTAAACTCACACTCTGATTTGACGAATAGGTCCATATTTCCCAAATATATCATACATTTCTTCAGCTGTGATTTTGTAAGGCAAATTTCTTATATATAAAATCCGATTTACTTCAGGTGGAAGTCGAATCTGAAATGAGAAATATGTATTGTCCTTATAATTAGGAAAAAGAGTGTTACCGTTTAAAAAAGTCAAATGGGCCCTGGCCAGTTTGGCTCAGCGGTTAGAGCGTCAGCGTGCGGTCCGGAGAGACCTGGGTTCGGTTCCCGCTAAGGGCACGTACTTCAGTTGCAGTTTGTCCCCGGCCCTGGTTGGTCGTGCAGGTGGCAGCCACTCGATGTGTCCCTTCACGTCGATGTTTCTCTCTCTCTCTCTCTCCCTCTTACTCTATCTGTACAAAAAATGGAAAAATATCCTCGGATGAGGATAAAAAAAATAAAATAAAATAAATAAAAATAAAAAAGTCAAATGGCATGTTCTTCTGGTTTTAGGGGAGACTATTAGTAGGAACTAATAAGGGGCTACCAGAAAACCCAGGTTTTCAATCAACACAATTATTATTTATTAATTAATGTATCCTCGGGTGAGGATATTTTTGCATTGAATTTCAGATACAGTGTGTGTGTGTGTGTGTGTGTGTGTGTGTGTGTGGTGGGGGCATATCAATGTGTGAGAGACACTGATTGGTTGCCTCCTGTACGACCAGGACTGGGGATAGAACCCCAACCAAAGTACGTGCCCTTGATGGGAATTGATTCTGTGACTCTTTGGTCCACAGGCCGACACTCTAACCGGCCAGGGCTAGTAATTTATTTTTGATTGCCAATTCAACTGGTTCCTTTTATTCCTCAGGTGAGCAGTTTGCTTACATACTGCCCTCATTACAAAAAACAAAATACTTATTTGGATTCTTTTCCTTTCATTCAACAAATATTTACTGAGCACTTTCTTTTCCTATACACCAGGCGAGGTCGTGTTAGAATTACAAAGTGAAGTACAAGAGACAAGGTTTCTGCATTCCCCAAACTTATTAGCTCTCTGTTATCCTATCTTGCTCTTTTTTTAATTCTTCAGTCAAGCAACTGGAAGGAGCAAGTTTACAGTTACTGCCTCATATTCTTTACTAACATTCATTAACCTTCCACATTCTAGTTTCCCATCCAAAACTCTGATGAAAGTGCTTTTACACACTAAGACCTTTTACTTGCAGCGTTTAATTCTCACCATACTTAACTTCTCTGAGCCTCTGATTGTCTTGATACTATTTCCTTGGGTTTCTCCTAACTCTCTGGCTAGTAGTTCTTCGCAGTCTTCTGTGCCATTAAACTATATGCTCTTTCACAGTTTTATCTTTAGACTTCTTGTCTTGACCCTTTGCATACCCCCCAACTCTACAGTCTGTCTCTTAACTGCACACAATTTGCACACTAAGTTGATGATTCTCAAATATGTATCTCCCATCCAGATTCTGTGCTCTTTATTAACACATTCAGTTACGTAACAGTCATTAATTTGCTCACTATTTATTAAACTGGCAACTATGTCAAGCATTAAGTAAGCTGTGTTGTAGAAAAATATAAGAATATATCTATTCCCTGCCCTCAAACTAGTAGTTGTGACAAATGGTAGACAAATAAGTACAATAAAGTTTTAGAGTTTAAGATTCAAGGATAAGTTCAAATGGATAATCAACACTGTCAATCAGAGTGTATTTCTCTAGTAAACCTGTTTTCTCATACTGCAAGACACTATATCTCACCTTCTCTTCTCTCCTCACATCTTACCACCACCACTCCCTATAATATCTGAGTTGGGCTGTATTCTCTTCCCTGCCCACGCTAGGAGAGGACCTTGGCTCTTGCTTAATGAAAAAAATAGATATGACCAAATGCTAAGTACTTTATATTCATATCACTAAACCTGCCAATCTACATTCATATACATGCACTCACTTTCCCTCTCAGTTTCTATGCCAACCCCTCATCCGCTCCAAACCATTCCTGAACTTAACCCATCTTTTACCTACATCATCAATTTCTCCCACTTACTGGATCATCACTCCCACTAGCATATAAATACACCTTACATCACACATGTTTATTTTTATTTTTTTATCTTCACAGGGGACATTTTTGCATATATCTTCAGACAGAGCAGGAGGGAGAGAGAAACATAGATGTGAGAGACACATGGAGTGGTTGCCACCCACACAACCCCAACCTGGCCGGAGACAAACTGCAATCGAGGTACATGCCCTTAGCAGGAACCGAACTCGGGACTCTCCACTCTCCGGTCCACCGGCCGAAGCTCTAACCGCTGAGACAAACCAGCCAGGGCACATCACACATCTTTAAAAAGAAGAGTCAGCTATCATCCAGTTTCTCTTCTCCCTATCTACACGAAAACTTGTGGAAAGAAGTCTCCACTTTCTCAACTTCCACCACAACTAAGTTTTCATCCACTGAAATGAAAATCATCACGGCCACCAAAAGTCTCCATCTCACCATATCCAACTATCTGTCTTCATCTTACTATACCTCTCAGCATCTTAGAGTTGAACACTTTTTTTGAGCCTGTTTTTTAGATGTCCATAACGCCCCACTCTCTAACATAAGAATGTAAGCTGTAGGGCTTTTTTGTTTTATTCACTGCTCTATATCCAATAGCTAGAATAGTGTCTGGTACGTTGTAGTAGTTCAATAAATACAACTGATGAATTGCTTCCTATTTCGCAAGTCTGGTACATCGTAGGTGCTTAAAATATTGTTGAATCAAAACATGAAGGATCCAAAAAGCTCTGTGATGAGAAGACTCCATGCTCTAGTTACCTGTTGACCACTAAGTTATTTACGGGCGACTCATCTGGGCTATTGACCGTTAGGCGGAGATCCTGATGCCAGGTTCTAGGTGCAGGTGAAGCAACCAAGGCTGCACGGTTAACATCACTGACGTTAGGATAACAGACTGAAGGAAACCTCTCAAAAGCGGTGGGGTGCAAATGTGGCTCAAAGATCTTATCTCTAAGGACCAGGCCAGGCCGAAGGCCCCTCCGACAGCACCGGGAACGGAGGAGGGCCAAAATTGCTCTGATCCACGCCGCCGAGAAAGCCCAGCAGCGAGGTCCTCCCCTCCTCGGCAGAAGTCCCCGGTACTCACGTTCGCTCTCTTGGCCGCCTGCATCGCCATCTTGGCGGGCTGATGAGGTTACCACAGCAAATGCTGGAATTCCTCCTGACTCCTCCGGAGCTCGCTTAGCTTTCGGCTCAGCACGGCGTCAGGATGTTGAAGCAGGAAGTCAACATCCAGGCTGCACCGGAAGCTGCTCTATAATGGGCAGGAATACCCTCGTCTCACGAGACGTGTTGACGCAGTATCCCCTCTCGAAAAGACTCCGGGGCAAAACGAGCCTGAGTGAGCTATGAGACCGGAAGATTGAGAGGCGAGGCTCCCGGACGCTTCCGGGCGCCGGACCGAAGAGGGCGGGGCCTGGACTGAAGAAGGGGCGGTGTTCCTGTCGGGGCGGCCCTGAGCAGAGGAAGCTGGTCGGAGGGGGCGGGGCTTGAGAGCGTCTAGAGGTGGGGCTTCTCGCAGGTGAGTTCTGGAAGTGGGCGGGGCCTGATGTGAGTGCCCTGGTCGCTGGGCCCCCGCAGCGGATGCAGGGACATGCGTGCGTAGGGACACTCGGGCCCCTGGCATTGCGCTAAGCCGTCTACAGGGTTCTGTCTGGGTATCCGTGCATCCCCTGAAGGTTGAGCGTCTGGTGTCCCGGCCTCTACGGTAATACCCACCACGACGCTTGCCCAGCCTCCCACCTCTTCCCCGCCCCGGTGGCCTCAGTGCGCGCGCTGGGGCCACCCAAACCGAGCCGACCGCCCTTTAAGCACCCTCTCTTTATTTGTTTAGACCAACTTTACACGGATCAAAAAAAAAAAAACCACAGTAGGTTACAGGTGGACGTGGAGGAGCAGCCGGTCTCTTGCCTGCATTCAGTGAAGTTTCACCAAGTTTGCTCTGGGAAGGCCTGAGGTACCCTGTTCCTGTACTGCCCCCCTTTCCTTCACTGGGGCACTTCCAGGACTATCTTGCCCATGTGCTTATTACTCTCCATGTGCTTATGGGCATCTTGGATTTCGGTCATGGGGTAGATTCTGTCCAGAACCAGCAGTAAACGTTGGGGGTCCTCCGTGGAGAAGTGGGGCACAATTTGTTCTGAAAAAGCCTTCACCAGCATTTGCTTGTACTAAGACAAGGAAAAGGAGATTGTCAGCTTGGACAGGGCTACTATTCTGCTTAGCCTTTGTGCCCTCTCTGAAATGTGTACCCATCTGAAAAAACACACGGGGGTACCTAAACTTCATTACCGGCACGTATGTGCACGCCCCCAAATGTGTAACCTCTGTTCTGTACCACATAGAGACTGAAGCCTGGAGTAAAATATTAGTGTCGGTGACAGCCTAGACAGGTCTTATATAGACTCAGTTCAAAAGGATGTTTAAGCTCTGCTATCCCCCATTTTATGTGAAATCTTATGTTGGAAACATTCCCAAAGCTGGCAAATAGGACAGATTTCAGGTCGAAGGTAGAGGCTTACTTATCTAAGAGGCTTTCTAAGCACACTGAGCAGAGTTCTGCCTTTTGGAACAGTCTTGAAACTGTTTAACGTATTTCCTAATATGGTCAATGCTTTGTTCATTCTGCTAGAAAGACTCCCCAGGTCCCATATATGAAGTGTTAGCTACTTTCTTCCCAAGATATTGAGGCTTCTATTGACCAATTTTAATTAGTTCTGTGAAATTAGGTTAATTTTATCCAGCGGGGAAGGTTTAACATAGGCTCCCTAACTTAAGATGTGATAAATCTTCCCTTATTTGGGGTTATGAAAATGAATCACACTTCTCTGGGTAATAGCTTTCTTTTCACTCATCACTCACCTTTTTGTCCCTAGATCTCAGCAGACTGGCGATCAGACTTCCTCGTTTAAAAAGTAGCTTTGAAAACAGGCCCACCGACGTCAGCTCCTCCCATCAGACCATGGCGAACCCAGCGACCATCAGGAGCCAGCAGTTCGCATTCTTCTCCCAGGGGGATCCTCCTATGCTGTCTAGAATGAGGTTGACTCCAGCACCTTCCACATGAAACACAATTGGTAATGTTTGTCAGACATAGACAATTTGGTGCAAAATAAGAATCCAGGGTATATTTGTGGATATATGGGTATAAATAAATACAGGTGCAAGTGGTAAATCTATATGTTGGAACTAGAAACACTGCTTATAGAAACCTTGTTGCAAATGGAGTTTAGCTAACTGAACTCTATCATACATGTGTGAATAGGGAAGAGGGGAATGGGGCAACACCATGATCTGGTATCTTCCCAGACCCCCATGTAAGCAGAGAACAGAACAGGGGAGGTCCACTCCAGGCAGCAGGGCAGGCTAGTAGTGCACATCTAAATTATGAAGTGTCTGCACCAGGTTGTGTGAATTGTAGCTTTGGTTATCAACTCTCCTTTTTGACTCATGTGGAGACATGGAAAGGGTTGGCTTTAGAGTACAGAGGCTCATCCATTTAGGAAGCTACCTCACCAACCCTACTATGACCACCTCCAAACTGGTCTCTGCTCCATGGCTCCTCTTAACTTTGTGTACTGGCTGGTTGGGAATAAGAGGTCCTGGATAATTCTGGGCCAACTCTGTGCAATTATCCAGTTTCTAAAACGTGTATGAACCATATCACAAGAATACACATAGAAACGATCTTCATCTTAAATACTGCCTGCCTAGCCACTCGATGTGTCCCTTTCAATATCGATGTTTCTCTCTCTCTCTCTTCCTCTCTCTCCCTCCCACTCCATCTGAATAAAAAATGGAAAAATGTCCTTGGGTGAGGATAAAAATAATAATAATAATAATTAAATACTGTCTGCCTATTTCCAGAGGTCAAACACTGGTCTACTAGAACTTGACCAGGGCAGCTGTTGTGTATTTAGCACTGGCAACCTTGAGGCTGGTAAGATTTTATTTAATCATTTCTGAAATTTCTGCTGAGCTGAAGAAGCTGTTGTTTACCTTTGGTGAATTTCATGGCTGCTTCAGAAAAATCCTCTTCTTTGTAATTGAATCCAGCAGCTGCTCCAAGTTTTTATGCCATTTGAAGCTTATCTTGGGAGCCAATTATGACCAGAGGAATAGCTCCAGCTCCCTGGGAAGCTGGATGGCAGCTGTGCCCACCCCACTGGCTCCTGCATGGATTAGGACAGAGTCTCCGGCCTGAACATTTCCTGTGACAGAAAGTACAGGAACCATTCTCTTTATTTTGCAACTGCTCCACAGCTGTCCACATAGGCTATTCTACCATGACCACCTACCCAGGGACCACCAAATGCCAAATTTCTTGCTTTCTTTAGAGAACATATTAATAGTTCTGTATACCAAAACACACGTCTCAGACCTATACCTGAGTAAGTAAGAATAATCACCATTTCTACTGTCACCGCTAGAAGCCGGTCCCTCTTCAGTCTGAAACCGGCTTCCAGCTAGCCTCATATCCAGGCACTACACACCAGCCTCCAGGCTTCTCCTTCTAAAATGGAGTTTTCATTATGTCACCTTTTCCTCAAAATATAACAAGGCTCTCAACTGGCTTTTGTATCAAATCCAGAGAGCCTGCAATTCAAGGCCACCACAATCTAGTCCCAGCCTCATTTTCCCCAAGTGATAACTGTCATCCTTCACTTCTGAGTGGAGCAGCCAATCGACTTTTCTTTCTCACTAAGAAAGAAAAAGACACTCTGTCCTAGGCCACTGTGGCTGCCTTCTGTCCATCACAACTCTACCTTCAAGTCCTCTTCCAGAAAGCCCCTTTGACCACCTTTGCCCTCACCAACTTCTCCCATCTTGAGCTTCTATTGTAGTTAGAGACAGGGCCATCCTTCTGAATTCTATGGTTGTCTAATTCTTGTGCATGCTTTGTCTTCCATTACACTGAGCTCCCTAAAGGAGTCTTCTCAGGCTCCCCCACAGGATCTTTCGGCTGGGCTCAGTGGGGTGGGGAGGAGTGAGTTGACTAAATGGCCTCTCTGCTGCACTAGGGCTCCCAGAGAAGCTCAGCATGACATTGAGAAGCCGGGATGACTGGTGGGCCAACAGTGTGAAGACGTGCACAGGCCTTCTACCCAGTGCTTTCCACGCCTTCTATCTGATAACCATGACTTTCAAGCCACTGCTCACATGGCATGAGGACCTGCCACTGCTGGTAGTACAGTAGGGTGAGGTGCTGGGTTTGGGTGTGGCTCAGCAAACAGGACAGGACAAAGCTGCCCTAGAGGACTACTGAGTTTTGAGGTGGCTGAGTCAGGAAGGAATTGAGCCACACTGTATGGAGTAAGCACGGGGTGGGGGATAAATGGAGGCTCCTCACCCACGAGATGTAACAGCTGGAAGGCAGTGAGCCAGGCTTCTGGGATGGCTGCAGCCTGGGGCAGGGTCAGTCCTGCTGGGATGGGCATTAAGAACCCTTCAGGGACAGAGACATATTGAGCCTGACCCCCACGGGGCAGCAGAGCCATGGCTGGATCTCAGATCTTCCAGTGCCCCTGGCAGCCAGGCCCCAGCTCTGCCACATGTCCAGATGCCTCAACTCCCAAAATGTTGCTGGCTCCTGGGGGTGGGGCATACTGGCCTTGTCTCTGCAGAAAGAAGAGTGATGAGGATGGTCAGAAATCTGTGTGTCACCATCCCTGGCCCTCTTCCAATAGCCTCCCCCGCCCTTTTCTGATAGAAAATTCAGGATAAAGTCAGGGGTTTTTTAATGCAGGAAAAGAGAGGAGAGGTAATTTGTTTCATACAAATAAGAGACAGTAGGTCACATAATCAGTGGATGTCACAATTAGTAAGGTCCTTAGCTTTTCCCTCATCTAACCCCTTTGTTTTACAAATAGAGATACTGAGGCCTGGGCAGGGAATGCCTTGTCTAAGGTCACAAAGTAAATTAGTAGCAGCACTAGGAACAAAACCATGGACTCCTAAATGATAATTCTTGTATATCAAGTGCCAGGATCCAGACTTACTCCCTGGCACCCTCAGAAGCCTCTGACCAGGGCTGTAGACCAGAGGGGCTGAATGAGGAGTATGCAGCAAAACCAACTGAGGAGCTTTTTCAAAGTACAGATGCTACCTGGCCAGTGTGGCTCAGTGGTTGAGTGTCGACCCATGCACCAAGAGGTTGCTGGTTCGATTCCCTGTCAGGGCACTAAATCCCCAGTGGACTAAATCCCCAGTGGGGGGACATGCAGGAGGCAGCCAATTGATGTTCTCTCTCATTGATGTTTCTCTCTCTCTCTCTCCCTCTCTAAAAATTAATAAAGAAAAAAAAATTTTTTTTATCCTTACCTGAGGACATTTTTCCATTTTTTGTTCAGATAGAGTGGGAGGGAGAGGGAGAGGGAGAGGGAGAGGGAGAGGGAGAGAGAGAGAGAGAGAGAGAGAGAGAGAGAAACATCGATGTGAAAGGACACATTGAATGGTTGCCATCTGCACAACTCAACCAGGGCCGGGGACAAACTGCAACCAAGGTATGTGCCCTTAGCAGGAACTGAACCCGGGTCTCTCTGGACTGCAGGCCGACGCTCTAACCGCTGAGCCAAACTGGCCAGGGCAAGAGAAAAATTTTTTAAAAATTAAAATAAAAACAAAGTACACATGTCTGGGTCCTAGTCATGTTTATTCTGGGAAAATGCCCCAGGCGATTTTGGTATGCATTTCTCAATTACCACAACCAATGTGGCTGGTCCAGTTAAGCTCTTCAAATAGCACAGAAGAAAATTCTGAGTACTGCTCCCTGCCCACTCTGGGACCCTCCAAGTGGAAAGATGCAGACTTAGGAACCACAAAGACCTCAGTTTGAATCATACTCCCCTAGTGCTGTGGTCTTGGATGTATTGCTTAACCTCTCGGACCCCCAGTTCCCTTACCTGTAGAATACAAATGGAGAGCAGGGTTGCCTGCGGAGTAGGTGAGATAGAGCATTGGCCTAACACACACCCATCCTCCTTAACAAATCATAATCCCCTTCTCCTTACCTGGAAGCCTGCGTAGACTGTGGATTAACAGGATGGATTCTGCTTGGTAAATACTGTATCCCCGAACTTTGTGTAAACCAAGGAGATTATATCGTTCTAGGGCTCAGAACCCCCAGCATACACTCTGCACACACCTCATGGTGAGTGTTACTGCAGGGCCCTGGGTCATTCCTTATCTGTCAGGATTTTTATGGAAGGCTCTGGAGTCCTGCCCTGACCTCTGAGTACCTGAAGTATGTCGGCCCGGTTCAGGGCGCTGGCTGCCACCTTCAGGAGGACTTCTCCCTCTCCTGGGATTGGCTTGGCCACTTTCTTCAGGTAGAAGTTTTCTGGTCCTCCCAGCTGGTCAAAGTGCACAGCTAGCATGTTTCCTGAGGACACAGAGCAGAGCAAGGCAGGGAGCCTCATGAGGGTTTTGAGGAGTTAGTGCAGAAACCTTATTTTCTTTAATCTGTCCTTTTATTTTTATTTTTTATTTTTGACTCAAGCTGGCCTCACCTAGCAGCCTGGCTCACCCACCAACCTCTCCCTTGCTGAATCATTAAGCCCCCAGGACAATGAGGTTCTGGTCAGCAACCAGTAGTCTTAGGAGCCAGGCCCGGGGTCTACAGACTACTGAGACAGAGTTAAACATACTGTCTTGGCCCTGGCCGTTTTGGCTCAGCGGTTGGAGCCTTGGCCTGCGGTACAGAGAGACCCGGGTTCGGTTCCCGCTAAGGGCACGTACCTCGGTTGCAGTTTGTCCCCGGCCCTGGTTGGTCGTGCAGGTGGCAGCCACTCGATGTGTCCCTTCACATCGATGTTTCTCTCTCTCTCTCTCTTCTTCTCTCTCCCTCCCACTCTATCTGAACAAAAAATGGAAAAATGTCCTCGGGTGAGGATTAAAAAAAAAAAAAATACTGTCTTGGCCTCAGTTGTGTTTTAGCTCTGGACACAGGAGAGCAGAACATTCCTACAGAACAAATTCTTACAAAATTGGACAGAGCAACTCCAAGGCTGATATCAGGACCAGATGCAGTGATCAATTGCCCCCTACCCCAGCACCGACCAGTCAGTAGAGAACAGGATCCAAACTCTGTTGGTCACAATGACTAAGGATTTTTTTCCCTATACAGGGTGGGGCAAAAGTAGGTTTAGGGTGGGGCAAAGTAGGATTATAGTTCATTTGGAAAATAGTACAATAATTGGATAACTATAAAAGAATAGACTCTGTTTCACTTACTCACATCTGTAAACCCACTTTTGCCCTACCCTGTATAATCCTCAGAAGCCACTGATGAACCAGGTCCTTGAACATGAGCTACTTGTGATTCTGGGCATGGCGCCATCTCCTTAGTAAATCCTCACTTTCTTGGTTGCAAACTCCTGTTTATGCCTTATTGGGTTTTGATGAGTGCACGCAAATGAACCTTTCAGTCCTGTAACAGGAGTGCAGCGCCCAAGCCCACACTGCTCGCCCCTGTGGGCAGGGCCAGCCCCTGCTGCGGGCCTCCTGGCTCTGTATCCTCGAGGTCTGCTCCCCACCCCCACCCCCAGCCCTCCTTCCTCCGAGGGCCCTGCAGGTCCAGATGGACCCCACACAGAGGACACAGATTGGGACAGGGTGAATGAAGTGGGGATGGTCTTACCGGGCGGACGCTGTGGAGCAGGGCAACACTGAAGAGCACGAGGCAAATTCCACTCCCACTGAGCTGAAATCCCCACCGGCCCAGGTCACTGGTGTAACTACTGAGAAACCTCATTTTTAAGTCTGGCCTTTGGTTTTTATTATTTTCCTTTGATTTAAACTGGCCTCACTTAACACCCTGACTCACCCACCAACCTCTCCCTTACTGAATCATTAAGCCCCCAGGACAATGAGGTTCTGGTCAGCAACCAGTAGTCTTAGGAGCCAGGTCCAGGGTCTACTGACTACTGAGACAGAGTTAAACATACTATCTTGGTCTCAATTGTGTTTTAGCTTCAGACACAGGAGAGTGGAACTATCCCACAGACAAACCCTTTCAAAACGACAGAGCAACTCCAAGGCTGCCATCAGGACCAGATGCAATGATCAATTACCCCCTTTCCTAGGCCCACCAATCAGTAGAGACCAGGACCCAAACGCCATTGGTCACCATGACTAATGACTTTTTTCCCCTTTACAGGGTGGGGCAAAAGTAGTGTTACAGTTATTCATAAGGAAAATAATACAATAATTAAATAATAATACAAAAATAAACTCTTCATTTACAACTGTAAATCTACGTTTGCCCCACACTGTATAATCCATCGCCTGGAAGCTGTCTGTGAGCCAGGTTTTGGCGCCATCTCGTTAATAAACCCTTACTTTCTTGGCTGCAAACTCCTGTTGTGTCTCTGGGCTTTGGAGCGCGCAGGCACACCCCTTCAGTGCGGAACAGGAGCGCGGCCCCAAGCCCACTCTGCAGGGACCCTGCTGGCCAGCGGCCTCATTTTGTTGGTCTCGGAGAAGTCTGCACCCCCTCTCCTCCCCCTCCTTCCTCGGAGGTCCCAGCTGATACAGGCGCGCGCGCACACCCAGAGGACACAGATTGGGACAGGGTGAATGAAGTAGGTCTTACTGGGTGGATGCTACGGAGCAGGACAACACTTAAGAGCACGAGGCTGATTTCACTCCCTCTGAGTTGGACAAGCCCACCCCACCTCCATCCCCACCGGCGGGTCACTGGCACCTCTGAGTTACTCACCTACTCAGGGCCCTCGGTCCCTCCAGGCCGCGCGGCGGGCCCTGCGATCTCTGCGATCCCTCGGAACAGAACCGTGGAGCCCTGGGACTGCTCGGCAGCCACCTGTCGACCTGTCGACTGGAATCTGGGAATCTGGGCATCTGGGCAGCGCTCAAGGGGTGGGGCTGACCAGGACCAACCCTCTCCCTCTCTTCCGTTTCCTCCTTCCCTCTTCAAAATGCAAAGCTGGTGACAGCAAATCAGATTTCCCTTTCCTTTGAGCCTCTGAGCCTCTAGAAAGTAGTCTTTCTCTCATTTTGGCAGGAAATGCTGTTCCCAGCTCTCACTGCAAGAACAGAAAACTTCAGTGCTTCTCTCTAGGAAACTAGACATGGACTCCGTCCTTCCCCAGCCACAGAGGCTTTTAGCCCTCTGCGTGGTGGGTCTGGCATCCTGCCCTTCCTGTGGCTAGGCATCTGGAGTCAGATGGGCGAGCAGTGTGGTGCTGAGAGCAGAGAGGAGTGATGGGGAAGAGGGAACGTAAAAGCAGTACTGGGGCCCTGGCCGGTTTGGCTCAGCGGTTAGAGCTCGGCCTGCGGTCTGAAGAGACCGGGGTTCCTCGGTCGCAGTTTGTCCCTGGCCCTGGTTGGGTCGTGTGGGTGGCAACCACTCGATGTGTCCCTTTCACGTTGATGTTTCTCCCTCTCCCTCTCCCTCCCCCTCTCCCCCCTCTCCCCCTCTCCCCCCTCTCCCCCTCCCTCCCCCTCTCCCCCTGTCCCCCTCCCTCCCCTCTCCCCCTCTCCCCCTCTGCCCCTCTCTCCCTCTCCCCCTCTCTCCCTCTCCCTCTCCCTCTCTCCCTCTCCCTCTCCCTCTCTCCCTCTCTCCCTCTCCCTCTCCCTCTCTCCCTCTCTCCCTCTCTCCCTCTCCCTCTCCCTCCCTCCCTCTCTATCTGCTGCTGAGCCAAACCGGCCAGGGCTCTCCCTCTCTATCTGAACAACAACAAAAATGCCCTCGGGTGAGGAGAAAAATAAAAAATAAAAAGCAGTACTGGGATCCTTAGCACTTCTGACATTTCTCCTCACTTTCCTGGGGATGAGGAGGCAGCCCCTGGAAAATGCTGCTGGATGAGATAATTTGGACTGGTTAAAATCTGTACAAATAGACTACCTCAGGGTTTCTCTGTCTCTGCATTATTGACATTTTGGACTAGATATTTTTTGTTGTGAAAGACTGCTCTGTGCATTGTGGGGTGTTTAAGCACCCCTGGTCTCCATCCATTAGATACCAATAGCACCTTCCTGTAGTTATGTCATAGTGAAATGTCTCCAGACTTTGTCAGATGTCCCCCTGGGGGGCGGGGGGATTGCCCCTGGTTAAGAACCACTAGGTTAGAAGAATACACACGTATGTGTGTATGTACACTTTTTGTAGTGCTGTATAATTTACCACCTCTTCACCTGCATTTTCTTATTTATTATCATAACACTTTACTAAAAAGGAGCCAAGATAGCCCTGGCTGGTTTGGCTCCGCGGTTAGAGCATCAGCCTGCAGTCCAGAGAGACCCAGGTTCGGTTCCTGCTAAGGGCACATACCTTGGTTATGGTTTGTCCCCAAGCCCTGGTTGGGTCATGCAGGAGGCAGCCACTCGATGTGTCTCTTTCACGTCGATGTTTCTCTTTCTCTCTCTTCCTCTCTCTCCCTCCCACTCTATCTGAACAAAAAATGGAAAAATGTCCTCGAGTGGGGGGGGGGGGAAGGAGTCAAGATATAGAATGATTTCAAGGGGCACATGTCTAGTGGGTGTCGGGGCCAGAAATCAATATATCTGCTGGGTCTTGGTCCAGGGCTCTTTTTACTACAGTAGGCAGCCTTGTGTAACACTCTCTCCTATAAGTTCAAAAAAACCCTTTCAATCTTTATTTACAGCCCTCTGCTGAGCACACCTCTTTCAAGAAGGTTACTCAAATTATGTATATTGATAAGGCTTTCTGTTTTACAAAAATGCCTGTTAGCCACTATCCCCCTCCTGCCATCTATAACAAAGCCATCATTGCAAGGAAAGGAACAGGGGAAGCCTGTGTATTCAGAGAGAAGGTCCACGTGAGGCCTTTTCTGGAAACTGTGTGGTGGATACTCCTTGCTACTTCTGTGGGTAGATAGACTCTAGTGTCTCAAAGGGACCATGTCCCAGGGAAGACAGGAAGCCTCTGCTGCTGGCTCCCTGGTGATTGAAGATCTAGCTCAGTAGTCTGGCCCTTAAAGTTATATTCCGTCCTATCTAAATGAAACCTACTCATCCTTTAGTGAGTGCCCTGTTATGCATTGTCCTCCAAGGAGTCTCCAGAGAGTGTCTTCCACTCACTCTCATTCTTTTGGTCTAGGTAAGCATCTCAGGAACAATTTCAGAGTTTCTGGACAAGTAATATAAAACATTGATGCCTGGGGGGCAAGTGTTTTAGAGATTTATAAGTAGAAAGGTGAATATCTCAAGGGAGTATGCCAGGTTCATAGGTCACAAGAACCCTGGTGGAGTTTAATGGATTGACTGCCTTCCCTGATCCTGAAAATGGGCCAGTGCAGGAAGTCAAAAGAGGAGGGAATTCTCTCACTATGCTTTATACACCCAGCCACTTCCCCTTTCACCATCTGTGGGCCTGCCATAGTGATCTAAGGTATTTCAACCATAAGAAAATAACATATCTAATGTGAGCCAGCAGCCAGAGTCAGGATCTGTCAGAATGAATATAATATATGCCCAGAGAAATGGAGATCTGGAGGAAATACATGGAAACTTAAAAAATAAATAAATAAAAGCAGCTGAGAAGATTCAGGAGTACCCCAAAAAATATTTTTAGAATTAAAAAAAATTTCAATTAAATAATTCAGTAAATGAATTAAATGAGCTAGTGACTGTTGAGACCTTAATGGCTAAGAAGATTAAGGTCAAGAAATATCTCAAGCCCTGGCCAGTTTGGCTCAGCAGTTAGAGCGTCGGCCTGCGGTCTGGAGAGACCCGGGTTCGGTCCCCGCTAAGGGCACGTACTTCGGTTGCAGTTTGTCCCCGGCCCTGGTTGGTCGTGCGGGTGGCAGCCACTCGATGTGTCCCTTCACATAATGTTTCTCTCTCTCCCTTCCTCTCTCTCCCTCCCACTCTATCTGTACAAAAAATGGAAAAATATCCTCGGGTGAGGATAAAAAAAAAAAAGAAAAAAGAAAAGAAATATCTCAAGCAACAGATCAAAAGCCTAAAGAGATGGACATTTGTAAAAGGATATGAGATTTGCACAATAAATTCAGGAGAACCTGCTATGAGAATAATAGTTTTAAAAGACGGAGAGGAATGGATAAAGAAGACTCAATAATTAAACAAATAATAGAATAAAATTTCCCTAAGCTGTATCAGATTTTACAAATTGAAATAATTCACTATGTTGAAAGATGAGTTGAGAAAAAAAAATCACATACCTATATTTTCTTAAAATTCCTAGTTGTAACAAATTTCTGGGCAGAAATAAGTTACCCACAAAAATTTAAAAAAGAAACTCTTAAAATGGCATCATTTCTATTTGCAATCTGGAAGTTAGAAGAGAGAGTAGATTAGCATCTATCGACTGAAGAAAAGGACTGCAACCCAATTATCATACACCCAACTAAGATAGATAAATCTCTGCATCATCAGCACAAAGATATATGTGAATATGCAAGAATTCTGAGACACATCACCCAGACATCCATCTGTCAACACTTGAGGCAAGTGGTATAACCAAGTAACAAATGTCCTAGAACAGAGGCAGATGGAGGGAAAACAGTTGTAAACAACAAATTCTGAAAAATATAGAACTAAAATCTATTGGATTAAACATTTGAATGGATGAGGATAAATGGGAAGTGTGTAATGTAGGTGCTAAATAAGAACTTTTAAAATATAAGAAATTACTTTGAGGGAAATTCTAAATGATAATCAAACCCTTTTGATTTTGAAATTTTTTTTATCCTCACCTGAGGATATTTTTGCATTTATATATTGAGATAGAGTGGGAGGGAGAGAGGGAGGAAGAGAGAGGGAGAAACTTCGATGTGAGCGAGACACATTGAGCGGTCGCCACCCACACAACCCCACCGGGCTGGGGACAAACTGCAACAGAGGTATGTGCCCTTAGCGGAAACCAAACCTGGGACTCTCTGGTCCACGGGCCCACTCTCTAACTGTTGAGCCAAACCGGCCAGGGAGAAACCCTTTTGATTTTACTGGTGAGTGCCTTGGTGGGGAAAACATCCAGCAGAGAAGGGGACACCATTTTGTGGGGAAATAGATTATATTCAGTAGAAAGGTATCTGATTTTGAACAAGAAAACTTTCAAATTAACAAGGGAAAAAATAAAAATGATGACCACTTAATAAAGTCAACAAAGGAAATAAGAGAAAAAAGAGGAAACAAAAATGTTTAAAAACGAAGTGGACGAATAAAATCAAACATATTAGTTATGACAGTACATTTAAATGGATAAATTTTATGAAAACCCAGAGATTGACAGACGAATTTAAAAAGATAGAATCTGCCCTGGCCAATTTGGCTCAGGGGTAGAGTGTCACCCGCAGATCAATGAGTTGCGGGTTTGATTCCGGCCAAGGGCACATACCTCTGTTGTGGTTCATCCTTGGCCCTGGATGGGGTTGTGTGGGAGGCAACCAGTTGATGTGTCCCTCTCTCTCTCTCTTTCTGTCCCTCTCTCTCCATACCACTCTATCTGAAGATAAATAGAAAAATATTCTCGGCTGAGGATTAAAAAAAAAAAAAGATAGAATCTATGAAGAAGATATATTTATGAGCCTGACTATGTTAAAAAATAAACCAGTTAAATTAGAAACTCAAGAATAAATGCCTAAAAATGTAGTCATAGTGGAAACTTCAATACATTTCTCCCAGAATTTGAGTGATATAATAATTTAAAAAGCTAATGAGAACACAGCAGAACTGAGGAATGCAATTGGTAAACTTGATATAATACATTTTGCAAATAGAGCATATAATTTTTGGTCCATGGAACATTTACAAGATTAATCAAGAATTTGTCACCAAGGAAAAACCTTGACAATTTTTTCAAAGCAAAGATTTTATAGGTCATCTTTTCTTAATCACATGTCAGTAAAATTAGAAATAATAAAAAGAAGATCCCTTGTCCCGTCGGTGTGGCTCAGCAGTTGAGCGTTGTTGACCCATGCACCAGGAGGTCGCCGGTTTGATTCCTGGTCAGGACACATGCCCAGGTTGTGGGCCAAATCCCCAGTGCAGGGCATGCAGGAGGCGGCCAATTAATGTTCTCTCTCATTGATGTTTCTATCTCTCTCTCCCTCTTACTTCCTCTCTCTCTAAAATCAATAAAGGAAAATAAATAAAATAAAATAAAATAAAAAGATCCCTTGACCTCCCTCCAAATCCCTAACTATTTGGTAGAAACACAATCTGAGTAAACCCTTGTATCAAAGTGTATATTCAAAAGGAAAGGAGGGAGAATTACAAACTATGTAGAAACAAACAAAGGGAGAATAACCTTAAACATGTTCACTATTAAAGAAGAAACATGAGAAAGTGAAGGAACTAAATATTTAAGAAATTAGCAAAGCAAAATAAATAAACAAACAAACAAACAAACAAAATAAACTGATGGTCTGCCAGCTGACTGCAGCTGAATAACCCGAGGTAAGATCAGCTGAACTACCTGACTAATCCCAGATCAAACTATTGACCTACAAAACTGGTTGCAAATTAAATGATTGTTTTAAGCCACTAACGTGTGAGGATGGTTTGTTATGCAGCAATAGATAACTGATACAAAATGCCTTCTCAAGAAGAGTCTCCCTTCCCTCAATTCTACCCCAATACCTTTCTTATAACACTCTTAACACTCTAGTATCTGCCTTTCTTCTGCACCAGACTGGATTCCTGGAGTATCCTAGTCATTTCGATATCCCCTGTACTTATCACATAAGGTACAATTCAACTGAAGTTTGCTGACTAAATGAATGGTCACACATTTAAATGGGATATTGCAGACTTTGAGCCTTTGAAAGAGGCCAGGGAGGGAAGCGCCAGCATTTTAGTAAGTGAAAATGCATGGGAGAAGTGGGGGCAGCTGCATCCTTGCTCTAGGCTCCCCTCCTTTGTGTAGGCCAGTGAGGCAGGAACACAGCCCTTTTCCACTCAGCCCTTTCATGGTGACCCAAGAATGATTTACTTTAGGATCCCAAGAATGATTCTCAAATCTGAAGAGGTTCTGTGATGCTCAGGCTATTGAGAATGGAGTTGGGCCTATGCAGGTCTGGGCATCCCTGGGCAAGGGGCTATTCTCAGGCCAGACCTGCTCAGGGAACTAGACAATTAGCATGGGCTAGAACACCAGCACCATTTCCAGTCTGTTTCTTCTGCTTTTTTACTTCCTCCCTTACTTTATTATTATTTTTTTAATGTTCTTTTCTTTTTTTAAGTTGATCTTAGAGGAAGGGAGAGAGAGAGAGTGAGAGAGAAACTTCAATCAGCTGCCTCCTGCCAGGATTGAATCCACAACCTGGATATGTGCCCTGATCTGGAATTGAACCTGCCACCTTTTGGTATATGGGACAACACTCCAACCAGCTGAGCCACACCAGCCAGGGCATTCCTCCCTTACTTTAAATATCCATCTATTTTATTCACAGATAATAATTGAATGCCTACTGTATGATAAACACTGTGATAGGTGATGGAATAAAAAGAGGTGTGGGACTTTGGGCAGTATGGACAGAGAGAGAACTTTTAAATAACTTTAAAGAAACTTTTTGTAAAACTTTGAAGTGGAAAAGAATGAAAGACAGAATATTTACACACTGTGCAAAAATTAACTCAAAATGGACCAAAGATCTAAATTTAAGAACTAAAATTATAAAACTCTTTGAAGAAAACTGGAAAAGCTTTATATTATAACATTAAATTTGGCAATGATTTCTTGAATATGACACCAAAAACACAAGGCAACAAAAGAAAAAATAGGTAAATTGGACTATAGCAAAATTAAAACTTTGCATATTAAAGGACACTGTCAAAAGAGTAAAATGGCAAACCACAGAATGGGAGAAAATATTTGTAAATGATATATCCGATAAGGGGTTAATATGCAGAATATATAAAGGACTCCTACAACTCAACAACAACAGAACCCCCAAAACACCCCAATTTTAAAAATGGGCAAAGGATTTGAATAGACATTTCTCTAAAGAAGATACTCAAATGTCCATTAAGCACATGAAAAGATTTGCTTTACATCACTAATCATTATAGAAATGCAAATCAAAACCACAGTGAGATACCACTTCATCACATCCATTAGGATGGCAATTATAAAAAACTAGAAAATAACAAAAGTTAGCAAGAATGTGGAGAAATTGGAATCTCTCTGCACTGCTGGTGGGAATGTAAAATGGTGCAGCTGCTATGGAAAACAGTATGGCAGTCCCTCAAAACAAAAACAAAAACAAACAAAAAACAAAACCATATGATCTAGCTATTCCACTTCTGGGCATACACCCAAAATCATTAAAAGCAGGGATTTGAACAGATATTTGTATACCCATATTTATAGCAGCCTTATTCACAATAGCCAAATGGTGGAAACAATCCAAGTGTCCACTGACAGATGAATGGATAACCAAAATGTGGTATATATTGTACACATGTACAATGGGATATTATTCAGCCTTAAAAAGGAAGTAAATTTTGACACATAGTTACAACATGGATAAGCCGTGAATACATTATTGTAAGTGAATAACCAGACAAGAGGACAAACATTGTTTGATTCCATTTACATGAGGTACCTGGAGTGCTCAGATTCAGAGGCAGAAAGTAGAAGAGTGATTGCCAGGGGCTGGAGGGAGAGGGGAATGGGGAGTTAGCTAGCGTTTGATGGATACAGAGTTTCAGTTTTGCAAGACGAAGAGTTCTGGAAAGGAATGGTTGGTGGAATTTGCACAACAATGTGAATGTACTTAAAGCCACTGAACTGGTTGAGATGGTAAATTTTATATATGTTTTACCACAATTAAGCATAAATAAGTGTAAAAAAAATATGAGTGGAGACAACAGTATAATTGCTCCCAACAGATATGTCCTGTGAAACAGTGTTCTCACACTCATACTAATGACCAACATTCAAAAAACAAGTTGATCAAATAACTCCAATGAAAGATCTCTCGAAGCAAGAAAAAATGCTCCATTAACTCATTCTTCCTTTCCAGGAGCTTCTGCCTAGTGTTTTTCAACAACAAAGGAAGGCCGGGACACACCAGAGGCGCAGGGGACTCGTGGCCCAGGCGACAGCGCCCGCCGGGCTGGTGTGCGGAGCACCCCCGTCCACAGACGCGGGGGAAGGCGGGACGGGAGGCGACGTGCCAGCTATTGGCTGTGACAGCTGTCCATCACCGAGAAGCGCTCCGACTTGGTTCACACCCGGGACCTGCCAACCGCGGCCGCACGTCGGGCTTCCAGGTGTCTCCTCCGCCCGGCGGGGCCCGGGACCGCAGTTGCTTGGGCTCGGGAGGCAGCGGCCGGGGCCCCGGAGCGGGCAGCCCGCGGACTCCGGGGACTCTGTCCGCTTCTGCGCCGCGCGGACGTGTCGTTGCCCCGGCGTCCCGAGAGCCCGGACGCGAAACGTCCTTCCACTCTGGGGCCACGGGCCGGCCGGGCTCAGCCTCCCGCCGCCGCCTTCGGGGCTGTGGCCGTCGGGCCGGACCCCGCGCCGGACAGGGGCACCGAAAGCCCGGCCAGTCTCGGGAGGGGCCCGGGGTGCTGTAGGTTTACAAGGCGCAAACCCTAACGACAGCTTCTCCCTTGGATACGGGGGGGGGGGGGGGGGGGGGGGGCACTGGGACAAGCACATTTTGTCTGAAAGCCCCTCCTGTCTCCAAGCAGCGCTGCCGGTGTGGCCTTCCGTAGCCAGAAAGTTGCAACTCGAGGCCATCGGTCAAAAAACTACCTAGAAGCCGGGCCGCTAGTTGCCACGCTGTCTCCACAGGGCTGTGTTGTAGGGGACGTGGGCAGCCTGGGGTTCAGGGGGACGCGGGTCAGTGCAGGGAGAGCCTCTCTACTTAGAGGAGGCTGGTTCTGAAGACGTTATCAGAGGCCGGGGTGAAGGCCCCTTGTTAGGGACAACGTGGATGGCTAATGTTCAGAATCCGTTCCACGGTCATGCTCACGATAACCGCACTTAGAAGAGAGTAAGATGGTGAACCCTCAGCACTAAATAAGCGAACTTTTTAGTCTTCTAGGAGCTCTGATATTGGGGACCACAATGAAAAATTTAGACAATGATGATCTCGACAAACTTCCCAAACTCAAGAGCTCAAAAGAATGGTTGGAACCACAGCCACTTTCTTTTATGGAGGTACAGTAGTATGGCATTTTGAAGTTTATGCTTGGATAGTTGCATTGAGAACTAGCTTGTGTGAAATATAACATCTTTTCTATGTTTTCTGTTTCATTCTGCTCTTTATTATTCCCTTCATTCTACTAGCTTTGTGTTTACTCTTCATTTTCTAGCTTCTTCAGATGGAATCATGCGTCATGAATTGTATACCTTTTCTAACATAACAAAGTTATAAAGTTTCTGTTGAAGCCCATTGCCCAAATTTACACATGTGTTTGTTTTTTTTTTACGATTGTCATTTCTTTTTTCTAAACAGCTTTATTAAGGTATAATTGATATGCATACAGTAAGCTGTATGTATTTAAAGTGTACAGTTTGATAAATTTTGACATGTATTCACACATGAAACCATCACCACAATCAAGATAATGAACATAGTCAGTGCTCCCAAAGTTTCCTCATCCTGTCCCTTGCCAATCCCTTCCTCCCTGCCCACCATCAAGGCAGGCTCTGACTTGATTTCTGTCACTACAGTTCTTTTTTGCCCTGGAATGAGTTTAGCTGAAAGCAGAAAGATTCAAATAATCTTTAAATGGTACTTTATGATATGATTGTAGGTATTAAAACTGGATTTACAGCCCCTGGCCTGTTTGTCTCAGTGGTTAGAGTGTGGTCCACAGACCAAAGAGTCACGGGATTGATTCTGGTCAAGCGCATGTACCTCAGTTGCAGTTGGATCCCTGGCCCTGGTCGAGGTCCTCATGGGGGAGGCAACCAATCAATGTGTCTCTCTCCTCGATGTTTCTCTCTCTGTCTCTCTCCCACTCTGAATGAAAATCAATGGGAAAATATCCTTGGGTGAGGATTGAAAAACAAAACAAAACTGGATTTACAGAGAACTTTCCAGAGGTATGTCTGTCACATAAAATATAAGTCTAGATAGTATTAATAATTTAATATTTGAGATTTGACTTTCAAAATTTCATTCTGTCATTTTAGGCATTAGCTAAAGAAGATGTTAATGCAGCTATTAAATCAATATTATATAGAGAAAATTATGTAATTAAGGTAAGAATTGACTATAGAATGTTTCAATTAAAATTTTTCTCATTTTAGCCCTGGCTGGTTTAGCTCAGCGGTTAGAGCGTCGGCCTGCAGTCCAGAGACACCTGGGTTCGGTTCCCGCTAAGGGCACGTACCTTGGTTGCAGTTTGTCCCCGGCCCTGGTTGGGTCGTGCAGGTGGCAACCACTCAATATGTCCCTTTCATGTCGCTGTCTCTCTCTCTCTCCCTCCCTCCCTCCCTCCCTCCCTCCCACTCTATCTGAACAAAAAGTGAAAAAATGTCCTTGGGTGAGGATAAAAAAAAAATTTTTTTTTCTCATTTTACACGTTGTTCATCATCATTATACAAATTTTAGAAAATAAAATTTAAAACACTCATTAGCCTCTAGGATTAAATTTAAGCGGTTTCTGAGGTTGTTTTAATTGACTTCCTCTTATCCTATCCTTGGTGGGGATTCTTTTATAGGTACCTTCTCACTTGTTCCTTCATCTTAATGGGCTTTGATGGAGTCTCTGTGTGTTCTTAAGAATTTTAAGAGCTGTTACTGGAACACAGCAATGAGTTAGTTACTCAGGTAAACCTGGGTAAGATCAAGGCTTTAACTGGAGCAGGATGGGTTTAATATAGGAAAGGTGAATGTCCATGTGAAGTATACTAAACACTGGAGTAGGTAACCTGTTGTTGTTTTTAAGAATTTTCTTCAGCCCTGGCCAGATTGGCTCAGCAGTTAGAGCCCAGAGAGGCCCTGGTTCGGCTCCTGCTAAGGGCACATACCTCAGTTGCTTGTCCCCGGCCCTGGATGGGGTCGTGTCGGTGGCAGGCAGTCGATATGAGAGATGTTTCTCTCTTCCCCCCTTTCTCCCTCCAACTGTATCTGAAGATAAATGCAAAAATGTCCTCAGGTGAGGATAAAAAAAAAAGAAAGAATTTTCTTCAGAGTTGTTTAAAAAGGAAAGGAACTATGCATTGAGAATGGTTGAAGTGTGCTGTGACCCAAAGTTAGGGAGGGATAATCCTCACAAAGTAGGAAGCAGTCAGGGTTCTGTTTTGTTTTGTTTTCTTTTCCATTTTTGATTTTATGTTGTTGATCCTAGTAATTACATGATTTCACTGGCTAGATGAAAGGTAGATAAGAAGTTCTGGTGAGAATGATTTAGTTTATAGTCTAAATCAAGCGTGCTACACTTCTTTTTGCTTTTGTCTCTTTTTCTCCCATAAAATATTCTTCTTCCACTTTCTCTGCCATCTCTTCTCTTCCTAGATAACTCTTCATTCTTTTTTTTTTTTTTATCCTCACCCGAGGACACTTTTCCACTCTTTGTCCAGGTAGAGTGGGAGGGAGAGAGAGGAACAGAGAGAGAGAGAGAAACATCGATGTGAAAGGAACACATCGAGTGGCTGCCACCCGCACAACCGACCAGGGCCGGGGACAAACTGCAACTGAGGTACGCGCCCTTAGCGGGAACCGAACCCGGGTCTCTCTGGACAGCAGGCTGACGCTCCAACCGCTGAGCCAAACCGGCCAGGGCGATAACTCTTCATTCTTTAAGGCTCATCTGAATTGTCTCCCACTTTGAGAATATATATATATGTATATATATATATGTGTGTTTTTATTTTTATCTTCACCCGAGCACATTTTTTCCATTTTTTGTTCAGATAGAGTGGGAGGGAGAGAGTGGAAGAGAGAGAAACATCGATGTGAAAGGAACACATCGAGTGGCTGCCACCCGCACGACCAAACAGGGCTGGGGACAAACTGTAACCTAGGTACGTGCCCTTAGCGGGAACCGAACCCAGGTCTCTCTAGACCGCAGGCCGACGCTCCAACCGCTGAGCCAAACCGGTCAGGGCGAGAGAATATATTTTTTAAAATTTAATATTTTTCCCTTTGTGGTAAAATATATATGACACACATTTAGCTATTTTTAACTATTTTTTAAGTGTACAATTCAGTGACATTAATTACACATACTTCTTTTTTAAAAGAGTATGTTTTTATTGATTTTTTAAAGAGAGAGAAAGGGAGAGGGATAGAAACATCAGAGTGAGAGAGAAACATTCATTGGCTGCCTCTTGCACGCCCCCTACTGTGGATCGAGCCCACAACCCTGGCATTTACCCTGACTAGGAATTGAACCGGGACCTCTCAGTCCATGGGACAATGCTCAATCCACTGAGTCACATCAGCTGGGCTACACTTACTTCTTGTACAACCATCACCACTATTTCCAAAACTTTTTCTTTTTTTATCCTCACCCGAGGACATTTTTGCATCTATTTTCAGACAGAGCAAGAGGGAGAGAGGGAGGAAGAGAGAGAGAGAAACATTGATGTCAGAGAGACACACTGACTGGTTGCCACCACCATGACCCCTCCGGGGCCAGGGACAAACTGCCACTGAGGTACATGCCCTTAGTGGGAACCGAACCTGGGACTCTCTGGTCCACAGGCCGACGCTCTAATCACTGAGGCAAACTGGCTAGGGCTATTTCCAAAAATTTTTTATTACCCTAACCAAAACTTTGTATTCATTAAGTAATAACTCTACTTTCTTCCCTCCCTAAGCCTCTGGCAACCTCTAATTCACTTTCTGTCTCTATTTGCCTATTCTAAATGTTTTATACAAGTGGAATTCTTCAATATTGATTCTTTTCTGGCTTATTTTTACTTGGCATACTGTTTTTAAGGTTCATTCATGTTGTAGTATGTGTCAGAATGTCATTCCTTTTTTTATAGCTGTGTATTATTCCATTGCATGTACATGCCACATTTTGCTCACACATTCATCTGTTGATGGATACTTGGGTTGTTTCCATTCTGCCTTTTGGCTCTTGTGAATAATGCTGCAGTGAACATATATATATAGTTTTGTGGATTTGTTTTGTAGTTGGTCTTCTCCTCAGGGAGAGGTGGCATATTGTCTAATGTATCCATGTATTCCTTTTTTCCACTATTGTGTGTCACACAGTAGAAACCATGTAAATGACTGAATTAATGAATCACTTTGTGGATTATTCTTAGGAATATAAATGAAGTTTAAATTCTAGAACAAGAAAGATTTCAGATAATATATTTGTCTCTTATATCACTATTTACTAGGAACTAGATAAGTATTTACAACGTCATGACTTTTTAAATGTAAGAAGAAGAGAGATGTTATATAAAAGATGGGTTGACCATGTGGCAAATCCCCTCCAGAAGATAATTGCAGAAAAAGTTCGTTCACATAAGAAGATTAAAAAAAGAAGACAAGAGGAATTAGATACTTTTTTAAAATATGTAAATAAAAAGGTACTAAGAGATCATTTGACACTTTTTTTTTCAGTTGGTTTAAAAACTATGGTTATCTTTGTTTATTTGTAAGCATCCAAGCAGCCTGCCCCTCTCCACTCTGTATGAGTAGTCTGTACTCTGTTACAGCACACACTCTTAAATCCAGGGCGTGTGGAACAGATGGAGGAGGAGGGTTAGTGATGGATTTATGTGTACATTAAAATCATTTTCATTGTTGTTCCCATGTGATTATTAATTTTACATATCAATTTTTAAAATTTGGTCTCTAGGTTCAGGATCTATATTTCTGTCTATCTGCATCTATCTATCTATCTATCTATCTATCTATCTAGATTTGTTCTGAACTTAATTATTTACAAAACTATAAAATATTTCTGTTCTCTTGGCATTTTTAAAGAGATCTGAGATATTTGACTAGTAGGCATTTTAAAACAAATTCCCAAATATTTTAGTGTTCCAACATTCTTTATTAAAATCTTGTGAATTATAAGTAGATTCATTACTTGGATACATTAAATTTAATTTTAAATTTGGTCTTCTCTTCCCTTTTGCATTTGTTATTGATGCCATTTAGAAGTATAAGACTGTATCTGTGTGTTTGAATCTTGAGTCTTGTTATGCTCAGAATTAATTGTGTGCCTCTTGTTCTTATGTGTGGCTTGTTTCCTTCCTGTAGGGAAGTACATTTATAGAGCACTATGATCCAAAAGATTATGATCCTTTTTATATGAACAAAGAGGACCTGAATTTTCTGAAGGTAGGATAGAGTTCTTATTTTAACTTTAATATTATGTAGTTAGTTTTTTTGAGCAGCCGTAATATGTGAGTTGTCTTTTAGTAATTTCCTAAGAATGTAGTAACATCTTAAGAATGGTTTCCCATCTCCATGCCTTAGAAAGGAACAAGAAAGCCAAAGTCCAAATTAAATTAAACCTCTGTAAAATTTGAAAATATTGTATAATGATTGGGTAATAGGTAATGTTTAAATTTTTCATAGACTTTTAAATTTTTTACATAGTAATACATTTTCATGATAAAATCAATTGTTAAATAATTTTAAAACTACTTAATTCCATTACCCAGAATGAACTCATAACATTTTTCTATATATCTTCAAGACTTCTTTCTACATATAGGTATAAATATACATTTTTATTTTACAAGAATAGGATTATACCATACATTAGGTTGCATAGTCTGATTTTTTCCCCTTAATAGTGTATGCTTCTTTGTCAACAAATATAAATATATACTTTTAGCAGTTGCATGTTATTCTATTAGTAGCAGCCAGCTTGCACTGAGGGAGTAACCAAATGTTAAACCTTTTTATTTCATCTTCACTGCTACCATGTCAGGTAATTCACAGGTGAGACACAGATAGGTTAAGTTACTTGTCCAAGGTCTCACAGCTTCGAATAGCAGAACATAGATGTGTTTCTAACCATATATGTTACCTTGCTAAACCATCATTTTTTTTTTTTTACATATTCCACTTTGAACATCTAGATTGTTTTTGACCTATTGTTGTCATATATGACATTGTAATGAACATCCCTGTAACTATTCACTTCTTCATTTTTCTGGTAGTTGCTAGAAGTAGAATTGCTGAGTCAAAGTTTATACTTGATTTGGTTCATATTACCAACTTGTTCTCCAGAATGTATACATTTGCACCCACAAAAGAGCATCCACTTTTCTATACTTTTGCCAATAGTGGACACTATTAAACAAAAACCTACCTGGAGTTATAGACATTTTAAACTGCTGTCATTTGCATGCAGAGCGGGTCCTTTTCTCTCCCCCCAAGGTGGGTATGTGTCTGTGTGTACGTGCTGTGGTCCCTGTCGTTATGGGTGAGAGTTAAACTGAGAGGTTAGAGTAAGAGCCTTAGATATACTAGCTAGTGACAGAGCTAGTGAGGGGCGGTGTTGGGATTTGAAAGCAGATCTTTCTGATACCAGAATTCCACCTGTTCTCTGACCATGCTGTCTTTCCAAATGGAGCCGGCAGGTGACCTCTTAAGGTAAGCTGAGCCCTTGGAGGTTTAGCAGCAGTTGTCAAAGTGACGTACAAGACCTTTGAGAGCCCCCAAGCCTTTTACAGGGGTCTGCTAGGCCGTGCGTTTCACTCTAGTGCCGAGTGTTACTTGGCTTCCCCATCGTGTCGCCGTTCGCTCCGACGGGACAGAAGCAGCGGTGCACAGAGCTGCTGCCGCCGGGACGGGAGGTCGTGTTTCCAGACTGTGCTGCGCCTGCTCTTCCCCGTGCGTGCACGCAGAGGAGAGACATTCAGTTTCGCTTGGAATATCTTTGATCAAACAGTAAAAATCATTCACTGTATTAACTCCCGATGCTCAAGGACACATCTTTTGAATGCCGCGAGAGGAAGCGAGGCGTATGCAGAGCGCACTGCTGCGCACGAAGTGCAGCGGGACTGTCCGCCTGAGAGCTGGGCTGGGAGGCGTTTTCGTGGATCGCCGTTTTTACTTACAAAACTATGGTTATTAAATCTCGGGTATTTGGCAGATATTTTCTGGAAAATTATCATAGTGAGTCTGTCATTTCAAGAACAACAAAATAGCCATTGCCGGTGTGGCTCAGTGGGTTGAGCGTCCTGCCATGGACTGAGAGGTCCCGGTTGGTTGGATTCCCGGTCAGGGCACGTGCCCGGGTTGTGGGCTTGATCCCCAGTGGGGGGCGTGCAGGAGGCAGCCGATAGATGTTTCTCTCTCACGTGGATGTTTCTATCTGTCCCTTCTTCTCTCTCTAAAAAAATCAATAAAACATATTTTAAAAAATAAGAACAACAAAATGTAGTATTTCTTGCCAATGATAAAATTTGAGCCTTTTATTTTTTTGGATAATCCTCACTCGAGGATGTTTTTTCACTGATTTTTAGTTAGAGTGGAAGGGAAGGAAGTGGCGGGCGTGTGGGGGGAGAAACATCAATGTGTGAGAGAGACATCCATTTGTTACCTCCTACACAACCCCAACTGAAGGCCGGGGATCAAACCTGCAACCCAGGAATGTGCCTTTTACCAGGAATCAAACCCACAACCCTTAAGTCTGCAGGCCAACACTCTAACCACTGAGCCAAACCGGCCAGGGCTGAAATGTGAGCTTTTAATGTGAATTTTGGAAAAATCATATTGAGTGTGACAGCATGCCAATACTCAAAGGCTTTACTGATGAGTTTGGTAATAATATTAATAAATGTGATCACTGTATAATAAAACAAATGAACATTTGGAAGCTCTCACATAACTCAGAGATCTGACTTTTCCCAAACAACCAATTCATGACATGGATAAAAGATCCATTCAAACTACAAGACAGACCAACGGATTTTAATGTAGCAGAGTTTGAATAATTCATTGATATGGGTTCAGATTCCACATCATAACTGATCTTTAAGAAACTACCACTTGTTGAGTTTGTGTATAGTATCTAAGAATAACGACAATAATCTTTAGAGGCTATTGAAATAAGAGCTAGCCATGGCTGAGGCCTTGGGAAAGCCCCTTGTCTTTGTAATGTGTTAAATATATATGATGGTTAGACTGCCACTAGTTTGTAGATACTGTATTCTTGATTCTTCTGGCATAAGAGCCATAAATGACTGAAATTCAGGGTAGACTGAAAAGGCCTGAAATCCAGTCCTCAAAGAAGTGCTTTTCTTGTAGGTTACCACCCCACTATTTCGTGACCCTTTGAAAAAAGCACAATACGACAAAGATGATGAAAAAAGAACTCTTCTTCAGTGCGAGACTGGTACTTAGTTTCTAATTGTTACATGATTTCATAACCCAAGAGCAATGGGAGTTGCATTTAACTGTGCTAATTTATATCACTAATCTTGTAGGCAAACTATATACAATGAAAGAATTTAAAGAGATCGAGAAGGCCAAACTGCATTCCAGATTCCCAGGACTTTCTAATTCAAGGTGTTTTTTGACTCCAAATGAGTGGCTTAAACTGTCTACAAGCTACATAGAAAGTGAATTTTGTAAAAGGAGCAGGTAATGGTTAATATTGTAGAAATTATGGAACCTATTGGAATTGGAAAACCTTTTCTTGAGAGAATGATATAAATTGTGTCATATCTATAATTAGTTTTTAAATTTCAGTTTTCAATGAGAAATCTGTAACTCTTGTCTTTGTTTTTCTGTATATGATGTTTCTTTTTTCTTGGATACTTTCAAGATTTTCTCTTTGTCTTTGGTTTTCATGAGCTAGATGATAATGTGTCTAGGTGTTTTGTTCCCCCTTCTTTCTGTTTTGTTTTTTTTTAAATACTCACCTGAGGATATATATATATTCTTTAATCTATTTTAAGACAGAGTGGGAGGGAGAGAAAGAGAGAAACATTGAAGTGAAAGGGACACATTGACTGGTTGCCTCTCACATGACCCAGACCAAGGCTGGGGATGAACCACAACCAAGGTACGTGCCCTTGACTAGCATCAAACCCGTGACTCTTTGGTCTGTGGGTTGATGCTCTAACCACTGAGCCAAAACGGCCAGGGCATTTGTTTATCCTACTTAGGGTTTTCTGAGGTTCTTCTATCTGTGGTTTGATGTTTTTCATTATTTTGGGGGACATTCTAGGCTATCACTTTAAAGATTTTTTTTTTTAAGAGATGGGGTAAGGGGGAGAGAGAGAGAGAGAGAGAAAGAGAGAGAGAGAGAGAGAGAGAGAGAGCGCATTAATGTGAGAGAGACACATCGATTGGTTGCCTCCTCATACACCCCGACCAGGGCTGGGGATCAAACCTGCAACCCAGACATGTGCCCCTGACTGGGAATCAAACCCATGACCTTCTGGTGCACAGGCTGTTGCTCCAACCACTGAGCCACACCATCCAAGGCTCAAATATTATTATATCCTATTCTTTCTTTTTTCTTCTGAGATTCCAATTTTATGTATGTTAGACCATTTGATATTGTCTCATAGCTATACAGCTCTGATATACTCTGTTGTTTTTTTCCTACTTGTATTTCAGTTAGACAATTTCTACTGACCTCTCATTATGTTCACTGAATCTTTCCTCAGCTGTGTCCCATATACAAAAGAGCCTATTAAGGGAATTTTACCCCTCTGATGTGAGGATTTTTATGTCTATTATTTCCATTTGATTTTTATATAGTTTTAATTTCTCCTGAAATTCTCCATCTGTTCATACATGTTGTTCACCTTTCTATAAGATTAACACATTATTCTTAGTTATTTTAAATTCCCCGATAGTTCCATCATGAGGGTCATTTCTGAATCTGGTTCTGTTGATTGCTTTATCTCTTGACAGTGGGTTATTTTATCTTGTCTTTTTTTGCATGTCTTGTAATTTTGTATTGAATGCTTTTCTTGGACATATTAATACAGGAAGCCCATTAGTCATTAATTGTGCTTTACACATTAATCTAGATGTTTGGTATACCCATTTGTTTTCTTTTACTAATAACATATTTCAAAATCCAAATTTTCTAGGAAAACTCATTCTGATTAAGTTGGATTAGACTGATTTGTCCCATAAATTTTTTTTTTTTTATCTTCACCCGAGGATATTTTTCCATTTTTTGTACAGATAGAGTGGGAGGGAGAGAGAGGAAGGAAAGAGAGAGAGAAAATCGACGTGAAGGGACACATCGAGTGGCTGCCACCCGCACGACCAACCAGGGCCGGGGACAAACTGCAACTGAAGTACGTGCCCTTAGCGGGAACCGAACCCGGGTCTCTCCGGACCGCAGGCTGACGCTCTAACCGCTGAGCCAAACTGGCCAGGGCTGTCCCATAAATTTTTTGTGTGACCATTTGCATACCAAGTTTATTGAGTATGTTAGTTAGAAGAATGGCCAGAGCTCTTGTCTATCACAAGAAAAAGATTCATGTTTTGAGGATTTATACTGCTCACAGAGTCATTGGGAGGGGGAGGTGTTAAGAAACAGGGCTGAGTTTCAGGAACAACACCCAAAGTCACAGTGCAGACCTGGTGGACAGAGGGATGTGTTGTTTGTGCTGTGATCAGGGAGCTGCAGAATCAGGGCGGTGCTGCTCCAGCTGTTGGCCTCGGAACCACACCTGCTCTGCTATAATCTGTGCCAGCAAAATGGATGCCCTTCAGAGGGCCAGTATCAACGTCCCAACGAAGTCCTGAGTGGGGGCAAGACTGGAGGGATCTAAGGTACCCGTCTGCCACCTATGGCAAGGGAGACTGGGGAATGGACTGTTGGGGTATCTCTTGGAAGCACATTTTGTAATTATGCTTGTAAATGATGCAATCTCTATGGCTTCTTTTTACATCAGTGTACACTCCCCGTGGATAGGGAGTGCTTTAAACTTTGCCAGCTGAGTCAGGTTCTCAGTAAACAGTAAGCCAGTCTTCATCATGGTTTCAGCAACTCTCACATGCCCAGGAATCACACAAGCTTGAAGTAATGGTATTTTAGACAATCTGCATAGCAGTCAAAGTGTAACAATCTCTGAAAGAGTATATAACCTAGACTTGTTTTCCAAACATCCTCACACGTTATCTCGTTAAAGGTTAAAAGTGAAAGGGAATTTTAACGCTAGTAGTTTGGATTTGAAACCCTCGGCCAAAGCTCCTCGTCTGCTGGAATCCCAGGAAGAAGGAAAAGCCGTTACTTGCAAGTAAGCCTGTTATTCCACAGCTTCGCTCTTCTTTTATTTAAGATGCGTGGCTGTGTTTCCACCCTTTGCCATCTTTTAAGCTGCTGGAGTCAGTGCCAAGGCGTATGCCAGGCCCTTGTGGCATGACACCAGGCATGTCCCACCACCGTGTCTGGGTGTGGGGCAACTTTCTTCAGCTCGTTATGGTTTTATTATTTCTATTTTTTTAGTCCTCACCCAAGGATATTTTTCTATTTATCTTCAGATAGAGTGGAAGGGAGGGAGGGAGGGAGACAGTGAGAGAGAGAGAAACATCGATGTGAGAGAGACACATTGATTGGTTGCCTCCCACACGACCCCTACCAGGGCTGGGGATAAACTGCAACTGAGGTACGTGCCCTTGACCAGAATAGAACCCGTGACTCTCTGGTCCATGGGCGACGCTCTAACTGCTGGCCAAACTGGCCAGGGCCAGCTCATTCTGGTTTTAAAGAACAAACAGCTAACACATTAGAAATAACAAGCATAGACACAGACAAAAATTGTTAACCACTCATACAAGTTAAGAGACTTTAGCTGAATTGGAGCTGTAAACATGTAATTCTGGACTAGTTTTGTGGGCAGTAGTTGTGCACCCAGAGTGAAGAGGTGTTATATGCAGAGAAGTGATACATACTACTGTGCATGTGACATGGAGAATCATCTCCAGAAACTGGTTATGGAGTTAAAGAGATTTCTCTACATGGTTACATAACCTGTCAACTATGTGATTAAAGGTTCGGGATCCCCAGAAATTGCTGGAGCAAATGTAAAATACACAGTAACTTTGGAAAACAGTTTGGCAGTTTCTCAAAAGGTTAAACATCAAATTACCATGCGACCCAGCATTTCGTCTCCTAGGATCCTACCCAGGAGAAATGGAAACATTATCCACATGGAGACTTGTGCATGAGTGAGTGTTCGTGACAGCATTAATCACAGTATCCCTGCATTGCAAACCCAGGTGTTGTCATCAGCTGGTCAATGGACAAACAAAATATTTATATGTAGTATATTACTTGGCAATTAAAAGGAACAGGAACACTAATATATGCTACAACATGGTTGAACTTCAAAACTATACTCAGTGAAAGAAGACAATCACAAAAACTACATATTGTATGATTCTGTGTGTATGACAGGTTGGCAGAGGTAATCAATAGAGATGGGATAGGTTATTGGTTGCCTAGGGCTGGGGCTGGGAACGGAGAGTGATTGTAAATGAACATGAGGTTTTGGACTGATAGAAAGGTTTTAAAATAAATTGTGGTGGTGATCACACAATTCTGTAAATATACTAAAAGTCATTGGTTTGTACACTTAACAATGTGTAAATTATACTTCAGTAAAGCTGTTAATTAAAAAAGAGAACCTAGCCCTGGCCAGTTTGGCTCAGCGGTTAAAGCATCGGCCTGCGGTCCGGAGAGACCCGGGTTCGGTTCCCGCTAAGGGCACGTACTTCGGTTGCAGTTTGTCCCCGGCCCTGGTTGGTCGTGCGGGTGGCAGCCACTCGATGTGTCCCTTTCACGTCGATGTTTCTCTCTCTCTCTCTCCCACTCTATCTGTACAAAAAATGGAAAAATATCCTCGGGTGAGGATAAAAAAATAAATAAATACAAATAAAATGAAACCATCTGGCCCTGGTCAGGTAGCTCAGTTGGTTAGAGCACTACCCAGATACACCAAGGTTGCAGGTTCAATTCCCAGAGTACATACAGGAATCAACCAATGAATACATAAATAAGTGGAACAACAAATCTCTCTCTCTCTCTCTCTCTCAATAAAAAGAAAGTGAAATGAAACCACCTGCAAATATATAAAAAAATAAATAAATAAAATAAAAATAAAAAAGAGAACCTAGCAAGGCAGAGGAAAAATGACCTTGTGCGCAGTTGTTTAGGGGGCTGGCCCACAATTTCTATTCCAAAAGCCCCAAGGGACGCTGCAGAGGTTCCCCTTTCCTCCGTCTGAGACACTCAGAATTTGATGAGTGAATCCGTGTGGCAGAAGCCTGAGGCTTTTAGAGATGCTTGACGCTGGCGTGGCCGTAGAGAGGACAGCTGGTGGCCTCAGGAGGAACTTGGTGATTTAAAGTATATGCAGATGGCTGCTGCAGGTGGAGCAGTCCCCAGGGACACTCGGAGTCCTCGAGGTGTGCTTTGCGTCTGCAGCCTTTTGAATGGGAGCTGAAACTGTGGGCTGCTAGGAAGTACTGGAACTAAGCTCTGCTCGTTTGGTAGCTGAAGCCCTAAAAGATGGAATGACCCAGAATTGCTCCTGTATATTAGGGTCCAAAAGAGTGAATTTCTCTTTTATCCCTTATAGTTATAGTCTTATTTAGACCTATTTGGGTCAGGTTTTAGGATAATAAACATCTTCATTCTACGTAATTTCTAAATATGCTATAAAAAGGGTTTTTTCCCCCCAAATACCTCTTCTAGCAGAGTGAGACCCAGACATAAAGGAAAAATTGCATTGTTGAAGTACCTGGGGGCTTATACTGCAGACTAAAGGTGTAAATCTATGACCCCCACCCCGACCCCCACCCCAGAATAAAGAGGAGGAAGTTTAGATTCTCTTCCACAAATAAGGGAAGCATCCCTGTTGTGGACCAGGGGGTGGAGAAGGCATATTTGTCCTTGGGAAAAGGAGACTTGCCCAGGGAGACACATGGATAGCTCTGTGAGAGGCCATTTACCCTAAAGGACCCTCACTCAGCTGGTGAGGCAACACATTTCATGCTATTTATTTGGATTTCTTTTTCGTAAAAATATACAAATTCATATAGAACTCATCAACTTCGAATTTAAATAAAAAATAAAATACTATAATTGAGGTGATGATTAAGAGAAACCTTACCTTTCTGGTTCCTCCCTACAGAAACAAAGGGTTAAGCCTTCTGCAAAAAGAACCTCTACTTCAGGAGGGAAAGAATCCAGGTCCCCAGGAGGCCAACTCTGAAGACACTTCTCTTCCTTGAGCCTCAGCCGCGAGGTGGAAAGGAGGCAGCGAGGACCAGGGTGCGGTGAGAGCCGGGAAGTTTCATTTTGCAGCACACACGGCGGCACTGGCTGATACCAAAGCTGGGCAGCCGAGAACTTCTGTGTGTGGCAGGATTCCAGGAAGAGAAGAGGCAGTGGACTCCCTCACCCCATCCCCACCCCAGGAGAGAGGGAGGGAGAATAGAAGGGGCTGAGGCAGGTTTCCTGTATTCAGAGCAAGTGGAGGTGCCCTCTGGTGGGTGGCCCTGGACTGCAGCGTCGCCCTAGCTCCCTCCCCTGAGTTTCTGCCCCTTTTTCTCCACAATCTCTACCATTTACCACCTGTAACACCCCCGCCAGGCCCAACATCTGGTTTCCCCTAATTCAGCCAGGACAGAAAGTTTTCAGAAGGACCACATACTAAATTAAAGTAGTAAACTTTACAAAGTAAATGAAAGTCTCAAATGTAAAATGTATGGAAATATTGGTGCCCATTTGACTGGTCTGGCCTCACCCACCGCTGCCAGGCCCTGCTGCCGCTCGCTCCCTTCAGCTCTGTTCTCCACATGCTGTGTCCGGGCTGTGGAGTGTAGCCTCGTTTAGCGGGAACCGAACCCGGGTCTCTCTGTACCGCAGGCCGATGCTCCAACCGCTGAGCCAAACCAGCCAGGGCGTGTAGCCTCGTTGAGGAGTGGGCTTGGAGAAGTCACAGCCCCCTCTGCCCACCTGCCAGGTAGACATCGGTACGGGAGCGGTCTGTGGACTGGGCACAGAGTCACCCTTTCCATCTTCTCTTCTGCCTGCCATTGCCTCCTCCCACCTCTCAAGGACAAATAAGGGAGCTGCTATTTGTACTCACGCATGGAAAACGTTTTAAAACTATTTCGTGGTTTAACTCCTGTTACTGTCATGTTTTAGCATCCTCCCACATGCTTGCTTTCTTCCTCAAAATTTTACAAGTGCAGATTCTGAGCCAGGCAGTATCTGAGGGGCTGGTAAACAAAACAGATAAAACCCTGATCTTGAGCTTGCATGTTGGGGGGGGGGGCAGGCAATAAACAATGAATAAGTGTATAATATCTTGTGAGCTAGTGATACGTGCAATGAGGAGAACAGAGCAGGTAAAGCAGAGCAGGAGAACTGCCCCAACGGAACAGCTTTGCATGGACGGTGAGAAGAAATTATGTCGCTTTATGATCACACCCTACAAACCCCTCTTACATATTGGAATGTATGGGTCTCCTGAATTTAACCAGCTCCGAACAGGATAATTTCTTCCTTTAAAAAATTTTTTTTAATAATTAATTTTTAAAATACAGATGTCCCTCCTTTTTCCTCCTTTGACACCCTCCTCCTTGCTCCAATCCACTCCCACCCCCTCCTCCACCGTACTGCTGTCTGTGTCTATTGGTTATGCATATATACATATAAGTTCTTTGGACTTCCAGCCAAGGTGGCGGGTAGGTAAATGCCGTATCGCCTTCTCCCACAACCACATCAAAATTACAACCAAACTACAACACAACCATCATTCAGAAATTGAGCTGAATGGAAGTCCTACGACTATGGAATTAAAGAAGAAGCCGCAACGAGACTGATAGGAGGGGCGGAGGCTGACAGGCTGGTCCCACACCCACTTGTGGTGGATAAAAATTAGGACACCTCGGCTGGGAGGGTCCTCCCTGAAAAGTGAGGGATCCCCCTCCCACACCAGGTGCCCAGTCAGGGTTCCAGTACCAGGAAGAGAAGTCCCCATACCTTCTGGCTGTAAAACCAGCGGGAACTGAGGCTCAGGGAGGCTGAGGCTGTTAGGTGGCTCCTCTTAAAGGGCCTGCGCATGGACTTACTTGGAACTGTTCCCTCTAAGCTTGGAGGGGAGGCAGCTTGAGGGGCGCCAGAGACATACAGGGAAGAACTGAGCTGTTTGGCCTCGGGACGAGGGCTGGAGAGGCGGCTTTCTTTGGGGTAGACGTGTTGGTGGAAGCTGATGTTCCTTTGGTGAGCCCTTCCCTGGGGCAGCAGACAGTCACCACATCTGGGACTCCAGCAACCTGGCTCAGACTGTTGGTCCCACCCCACCCAACTTTCAGGCCCACCCAAAGGCTTTACCCATAGGATTGGCCTGTCTTGGATCCTGCTTCAGAGTTTCCTAAAATCTCTCAAACAAGCAGCATCTGGTCTCTCAGCAAGCCCCATATTTCTCATTATGTGGCCCCAGGCCCAGTTCTAGGAGCAGCCAGCCTTGGTTCACAACTTGGCTTTTTCTGGGCACCTCCAGCCCAGCACAAGAAGCAGCCATCAGCAGATCACTTTGTAGCTTATGCCGGGTAGCCCCAGGTAGAACACAGGCAGTGGCTGACCTTGCCCCAGAGCCAGCACACCCAGTGGACAGCTTCAGACCACATCGAAACACCACTGCCCAACCACCTCCACAAGTGACACACTCAAGGAGTGAACTCAGGGTACCAGAGCCCTGACTAAGTCTTGCTCTGTGTGGTGGGCCCCTACACAGCTGATCATCCAAGGGAGTCAGAGGCCAGTGGTCAGTGGGCACAGTCAGTCCTTGCAACTGATCAGCCTGAGTAAATCCCTCCCATTGACATGCCAGTAGCAATCAAGACTCAATTACAACAGAAGGGTGTACAGTTCACACTAGGGGTGCACCTCAAGGGCCCAGCTGGGGTGATCACGGAGGCTGTGCCACTGGATCCTACAGAACACCTACAACAATAGGCCACCCTACAAAGCCTAGGAGACATAGCATCTCTACCTAATACATAGTAACAATCACAGGGAAGCAGCCAAAATGAGGAGACAAAGAAACATGTCCCAAATGAAAGAAAAGAACAAAACTCCAGGAAAAAAATTAAACAAAATGGATATAAGCAATCAATCAGATGCAGAGTTCAAAACACAAGTTATAAGATTGCTCAAAGAACTTGATGAGATATTCAAGGAACTTAGTGAGACCATCAAGGAACTTAAGGAGACCTCCAAGGAACTTAGTGAGAACATCAACAACATAAACAAGGACCAATCAGAAATGAAGGATGCACTAACTGAAAGAAAGAATAATTTACAGAGTCAATAATAGAGTAGGTAAAGCCAAGAAGCAAACCATTGAATTGGAATATAAGAAAGCAAAAAATGGAAGAGCAAAAAGAAAAAAAAGTCAAAAAAAAAAATGAGGATAGTATAAGGAGCCTCTGGGACAACTTCAAACATGCCAGCATTCACATCTAGGGGTGCCAGAAGGAGAAGAGAGAGAGCAAGAAATTGAAAACCTATTTGAAACAATAATGACAGAACACTTCCCTAACATGGTGAAGGAATCAGACATGCAAGTCCAGGAAGCACAGAGAGCCCCAAATAAGATGAACCCAAAGAGGTCCACACCAAGACACATCATCATCAACATGTCAAAGGTCAAATACACAGAGAAAATCTTAAAAGAGAAAAGCAGTTCATTACCTACAAAAGAGCTCCCATAAGACTGTCAGCTGATTTCTCAAAAAAAAAAACAAAAAAACTTTGCAGGCCAGAAAGGAGTGGCAAGAGATATTCAAGGTGATGAAAAGCGACAACCTATAACCAAAATTACTCTAGCCTGCAAAGCTATCATTTAGAATTGATGGACATATAAAGAATTTCCCAGACAAGAAAAAGCTAAAGGAGTTCCTCACCATCAAACCAGTATTATATGAAATGTTGAAGGGTCTTCTTGAAGGAGAACAAAAATATGAACAATAAAATGGCAATTAATGCATATCTATCAACAATTGAATCTACAAACAAACTGAGCAAGCAGAACAGAAACAGATTGATAGATACAGAGAACTTTTTGTTGCTTGCCAGATGGGCAGGGGCTGGAGGGATGGGTGGAAAAGATGAAGGAATTAAGAAGTGCAGATTGGTTATTAGACTGATGAACCTCAAAGGGAAGGGGGGAGGGAGGGCAGGATGAGATAAACCAAAGAACTTCTATGCATATATGCATAAACAATGGACACTGACAATAGTGTGGGGAAGGCTGGAGTGGGGCAGGATTGGGGAGGAGGAGGTCAATGGGGAAAAAAAGGGAGGACATCTGTAATACATTCAACAATAAAGATGAGTTAAAAAATATATAAGTTCTTTGGTTTATTGCTTCCTGCCCCATCCCCTCTTCCCTCTAAGGTTTGTCATTCTGTTCCCTACTTCCATGTCTCTGGATCTATTTTGTTCACCAGCTTCTTTTGTTCATTATATTCCACAAATTAGTGAAATCACGTGATGTTTGTCTTTCTCTGGTTGGCTTATTTTGCTTAGCATAATACTCTGCAGGTCCCTCCATGTTGTCTCAAAGGGTAGGGGATCTTTCTTTTTTTTAAAAAAATTTTTTTTCCTTTTCCTTTATTGATTTTAGAGAGAGAAGAAGTGAGAGGGAGAGAGAGATAGAAACATCAATGAGAAAAAACATCAATTGGCCACCTCCTGCATGTCCCCCACTGGGGATCTGGCCCACAACCTGGGCATGTGCTCTGACCGGGAATCGAACTGGCAACCTCTTGGTGTATGGGTTGACGCTCAACTGCTGAGTCACACCGGCCAAACAGGGATCTTTCTTTCTTACAGCTGCATAGTATTCCCATAGTATTCCATTGTTTAAATGTGCCACAGTTGTTTTTTTTAAACACATTTAATTTTATTTATTTATTTATTCTTAATCCTCACTCAAGGACATTTTTGCATTTATCTTCAGATAGAGTCGGGGGGGGGGGTGAAGAGGGGATGAGAGAAACATCGATGTGAGAGAGACACATTGACTGGTTGCCACCCACATGACCCCAACTGGGGCAGGGACAAACTGCATGTGCCCTTAGCAGAAACCGAACCCGGGCCTCTCTGGTCCATGGGCCGATGCTCTAACCGCTGAGCCAAACTGGCCAGGCTACCACAGCTTATTTATCCACTCATCTACTGATGGGCACTGGGGCTATTTCCAGATCGTAGCTATTGT